TTTTTCTTGATCTTGTTGATCCGGCCGGATCCTTGAAAATTGCTTTTGATGTTATAAACGCCTTTAACTTCGAGATACGTTCATTTACTTTTGTGTGTTCATGTTTGAATCATTTGCTGTAGTGTACTTCTCAAACAACGCTTATTAAGCTTGGGTTACCTGTTTCTATCAGCATGTCTCATCTAACAACCGATTTGCTTTTCCTTGTCTTGCAGTATGCTCACAAGTTGGCCTACTTGGTTGGTCAGAATATTCACAGTGAACCGTCAACCGATCTTTCAGATCGCTTGTTCTTCTTGTAAATCATTAATCTGTAACCTCGAGGTAGCTGCTCTGGCTTCACATTCGAGACATCCGTTTAAAAGAGATTTTGTTATACTGTCAAAACTGTTTGGATCACACAAGAAAAGTCTAAGGAACTTTAGCCCCCCTCGTGGACGCGTAAGGCCTGTGAGTTAGGCATGGTTAGGAACGTCTGACGAAGCCTTAAGGAGCGTCTGTGTGGGAGGCTAAGGAAACCTTTGCTCTCTGAATCGACATTTTTGTAAAACCATTATTATATTATATTATTTTAGTTAAAGTGTTTATTTATTTGAATAGGCTATATTATTCTAACAATTTTTGCAATTAATTCAAGAAGGTAAAATTTTGAAGAGCCTTTATTAAGCATAATGGTTTAACGGTTGAGTTTTATTTTATCATGACTGTTTGATCATTCTTACTATTAGGCGTGAATATTGTATGGATGTCAATAATCATACCTAGTCGTCTCGAGTGGGAGGTGATTCATTGATAGACAAATTAAGATTCACGTTTACGCCAAACGTCAAACGTGAATTTTTACCACGTGACCAAGTTTTTTCCTTAATTGTCGTATACTATTTATTACTTCTACTCAAAAATAAGTGGTTTTTACGCCAGTTTTATCCGTAAGAATTTTTCTGGACAATTTCTATCTGCCTATTTTCTATTCTTAGAAATTCTCAACTTAAATCTGCCGTTTGCCGTAAACGTGAATCTTGGTCTCTCTAATTTTAACAAACACTCTGTTTCGGTTAATGTTTTTATCATCTGCTTTACTCTTAAATTACATTTAAGAACTGAGTAGTAAAAACCGTGTCTTCGTTTCTACAGGCTTGCGTGTCTAGATTCTTCGTGTTCTCGCTCTTTAATGTGTTTAACTCTCGTGCACACATGGAAATGTTTTCCCTCGATATCCAGCCATGGGGCCCGGAATCAAATATTCAAATCTAAATATAAAGAATAATAGCGCGGGTCCTGGCTAGCAAACTACTCCATTTGATTCATTAACTGAGAGTTTTATCATGTTAGATGCAAAACCATTGAAACCTCGATCTTTAATGTAAACGGAGACAGCTTACCGGGCCCATGGTTTTTTAAACCGACTTTGCGTTGTCTTCATATCGAGTGAACAAGTCATTCAGGTAACATAGCTTCTCAAATGATATATAATTCGTGACAAAAAACGAAGCTAAAGTCCACTTGCTCTTGGTTTTTTTTCCGTTATTTTCTCGTAAATGGATTATCAAAAGTTGGTCGCGCTATTTAGGCAATTTCAGCACCAACCAATATCATTGGAAATTTTGTAACTCGCTGATGAATTTGATCAGAGGAATTTCAATGGGTTTTCTCGAGCGTTATGAGAGAGTGACCGCTTATTCAAAAGTGTATGGCTCCTAATATAAACTCGTTCAAGTGTTTCCTCTACCTTTTCAAAATACAGTAAATATCCGCGTGTAAGAAACTATATATTTTTTTGATTCTGGCAAGAAGGTTCTTATATTTTGGGGTAGTTATCGGTAATTAAGTCCACGCAGGGTCTTAATAAGGTTCTTAATTTCTATGATGGAGATATTATTGTGCAAACCTCCTTTATGCAGGGTTCATTGAGACAATGACAGCTTTTAGTTTTTACTTTATGCAAACTTGTTTTGCACAGTACTTCTTGTAATATAATTTTGCAATCTCAAAAAAATATGTATTTGCTATTATATTTGTCATAATCAAACTTCTACCCACGTTATAAGAATCTGCTAAATCTTGCTTGGCTAAACACGTTCTTATATTTTTGGGTATTAAAATGACAAATTTCTGCCAGCATATTTTTGAACCATTAGGTTCTTACACGCGGGGTTTTACTGTATTAGTAAAACTTGGAGAACTTCGATGCAAAAAGTCTTGATATAGTTCCGGTTTGTTTTAAAGCGTAATTTTGGAATAGGGGAATAGAATAGTACCTATTGCGAAAGCGACTGTGTCATGGAAAGTCTCTTCTTGTTACTCTTGTCAATAAAATTGTAACCTCGATATAGCGAAGGGCCAAGGGAATGACAAAGTACGCTCGCTATAACGAGGTTTCGTTATATTGAGGTTGTTTTCCATATATTTTACTTTTACTGTGGCCACAGCTTCATGACGAACAAGTGTCAAGCAGTTATAAGGTGGATAAATGGTTCAAGTTTTATCGCTTACTTTTTATTTTCAAATGCGTAACGTTGCACCGGATTGACAAGATATTTGTGGAGGAAAAGTTCAATTTAATTCCAGGACTGCGATGTAGCATAGTTGGAGACTTCCGTGTCCCATTACATGACTGTAGATTTTTGCGTAAAACTGAACCGATAAGCACACTGGCTCTTCCCACGATATTTCTTTGAACACACCCTTTAACTCTTTTATGTCTTTAGAGCTGAAAACTATTAAAAAACTGTGAAGCGTTAGCTGAACATTTATTCTTAGAAGATAGTGAAATGAACTGTTCCCGTTCAGAAAATATGTAAAGACGTTGAGTTGAGGTTAAAATATGTACGAGAATGTATGAAATAAACTACATGGATTGACACTATTTGGATTTCGTTTCTACCTTGCTTGATCTACATGTAAGCTCGATAGTTTTGTTTCCCAGTTATCGAGGACACCTTGTAGTCCTTGTATGAAGAACCCAGTGAAAAGACAGCCGAGAAAATTTTCCCGTTTTCTCTACGAAGTACGATGCATTTAACTTTAGCAATAGGACGAAATCAAGAGCAGACCTAAGTAGAGTAGAGACCATAAGTCCAATTAGCACTCATTCTGCCTTATGATGATGGATAAACGCCATCATCACATTAAAAAGAAGTTGAAGCACCTTGTATTTTCAGCCAGGGCTCCATCAAGACACTAGCCTGCGTAGCAGGCGTTAGAGGGGCGGGGAGGGGGGAGGGTAAGAAGGTGGAAAAAAGGGAGTGGGGATTGGGGATTCTTCTCCTTCTTACCCTCGCCCCCCAATTCCTTCTTTCCGACCGCCATAATTTTGAAACATAACAACCGCTGAATGAAGTGCTCGTGGGCTTTCAAGATTCCTTAGCGTGGGTTAGGGTAATAGAGTAATAGAATTTCTTTCTCGTTCGGAAAGCTTCTCTTTCCAAAGACGCTCCGCCGAAGGCCAACGAAAAAGCCCACGAGCGCTTCATTCAGCGGTTGTTATGTTTCAAAATAATGGCGGTCGATCATGGCGGTCGGAAAGAAAAGTTAAGCTAAAGGGAAGATCGATCAAAGGGAATTGTTTAACGGTTAAACGACCCAGAATGATCACACACGGCTAACTAACACACCGAGAATTAACAGATTACAGCAATCAAAGAGGTAAGAAATTCTTTATTACCTAATTCAAACTGAACTCCTCTGCTCCCTATGCCGTGGTAACTAACTACTATAAATGCCAAACTATATTCTTTGTAAGTATCGCCCTTTCCATGTATATGTATGCTTTTTCCCCTTACAAAAGAAGTTTTAAAAGAACGAAAAATAGATGGAAAATATTTTCTTGTTCACGATGACAGACCATAACGTCTTCCTGCGGAACTGAAGCAAACAAGCATTGACAGTGAAAAAATCGGGCTTCTTGAGAAAACTGCAGTGCAGCTGGCTATGAAGGTTTACGCACGAACTCGAGCAAGGTAATTCAAGTTTAATTCTTTACAGGACAAACATGATTCTTGCAATGGTAAGTACTTGTTTTCCTTTTGTAAAAAGTTAAAACATGATAAGTTAGCCAGGTGAATGAAAACTTCAGTAGGATGTTTTAATAGTCCCTCATTTTGACGGAACGTACGTAACCATTTTTTGTACCGGAAAGCCTCATTCTCCCTAATTTTTCTCTCTCAAGCTGTTCCCACTTGTAAGAGAAACGCCGACATAACTTTATGTTCCTTATTCTGCCATTTCATTTTTAAAGAGGCATTCAAATCGTCCAGTAAAGCATTAAGCTTGACTCAAGCTAAAATGATGCTTTGTCACCAAAACTACAAAGGAAGAAAAGAAGCTAAGGGAAAGAAACTTCGAAATATGACCTTTATGACCTATACGTGAAAACATTTCAAAAGTTGGTTACTTTTTTTAAAAAAAAATTGAGAAAACGTTGGGTCTCGATACGGGTCAGTAGGTTCGTACCCTCGATCTGTGGCGCAAAAGGTAAAACATACTAGTAACTTGTAAAACCTGGTATTAAAGGAATCAATAGAAAGCTGTTTACTGTACGGTTATTCAGGCGTTTCCTTTCTGGTTACTGTTTTTTTTTTTTTTTTTTTTTTTTTTTTTATAAAAAAACCGTCTGGGGAATTTTGGAAAGAGTTTTGGAGAAAAATTTATTTTTTTTTTTTTTTTTTTTTTTTTTTTTTTTTTAATAAAAGAACCGTCTGGGAAATTATGGAAGAGTGTCTGGAGAAAATGTTATATAGAGTTTTGATAAAACCAAAATTTATGATAAAACGCAGCACAAACTTTTATGGATGGATTTTGATCTTTTCTATGTATCGCTCCATCATTCAAAAGGAATATATCTTTAATAAATTGCTATAAATAAGAACAAATTATTTGTAAAAGTCTTTGAATGTTAGAAATGTCAAATATCGATGTTTTATAATTTGCATTTAATTATGAAAGTTACTCGAGCGTGAAACCACAGTCGCATAGCAACGAAAGAGTTGATGACACAGAAAGTCACTAGTAAAACAACTTGACTCGAGTTACACGCGCATACGGTTAGCCATTTTGGAACGAATGGTTTGAAAAAAACAAAAATCACAAACGTTTGCGGGTAGAAGACGTCGTCAAGATGGCAACAACTAATCTACCAGCAATTCAACACCCGCTTTCGAGAATGGATGACCCGACAAATCTAAACGTGAGGGGTTTATCACGAGACGGCTCGCGTGCAGCTTCCCGGCAAAGTTTGACTTTCGGGCAAGATAAATTCAACGCTTTACGCCCCATAACTGCAGATCAAGTACCTTGGAGACTTACGCGATCCTCGAACGGTTTTGGTGGGCAAAATAGTCCAAGAAATAATGGTTTTGCGGCCATGGGACAAATTCCAGAAGGTGTCGAAGTCAAGCTAGCTGAAGACCCGAGCAAGCCAAGCATACCGATTTTCGGTGAGTGTGTTGACCTTCCTTTTATCTTTTTTCTAGTTAAGTGGTTTAATTTATTGCTCTAGGATAGATGCAGCTCGAGTCTTCTTTTCCAGATGGATTTTATCGGTAAAGGGTATTGTTGTTAGAAACGCAGAACCTAATTACGTCTTCCATCCTCACGCTAGCTATTAACTAGATCTATTAACACTAACCTTGCTACTATTTTCTCATTATTTTATGTATGTGAAAATTTGCACTTCAATAGCTTTTCTATGACAGTTCACTATTTTTTTTGAAAAGTGTCTTATATACTTAATAATCGCGGATATTTCTTTGTGTATGCTTTATCTAAACTGCCTAGAGACCGCGACAAGCCATATGTTTTATGATACACTGCATTGAAAAGGCGAATGACTAAATATAAATTTTTAATCTGAGGTTTCTACCGGATGTTTCTTCCCAAAACATCTGCTTCAAGCAGCTGATATTAGAGACATTAGCATTTATATCTTTTTGGCGAGCAAACTAATGTAAACAAAAGCTCTTTTTGCAGACAATGTTTTATATAGTTTGCATATAAAATCATATATTATTTGTTTACTAATAACATTGGTCAATAGTAAGTTATTTGTTTTACCTTTTATGTATTTATTTTTAGCTCACATTTGATTATAGTTACATAGATATTTGCGCATTATATATTTTAAAATTATTATTATTATTATTGATAATATTATTATTATTACAGCTTTGTGTTGAAGTAAATAGTTTAGGTTACCTCTAAATTACTATAATGATTGTATAATGTTTCCAAATTTATCAATGAGCTTTAAAGCAACTGAATCGCTGTTGTACATTCTAGGGAGTCGTGCTGACATGGCTAGCCGTGCAGAGAGCCGCCTGTCTCGACTAAACAGTGCTGCGTCATCCTTGCAGGGGCCTGACAAAGCAACAGTTGATGAGGTATGTTGTCACTTCTGCCCAACTATTGCATTTCACAGGAAATTTGACTTTCATTAGTCAAATCAAAGGGGATGTACAAGGCTGTGCTCTGAGGAAAATTGATGGGAGCCCACTGCTCTGAAACAGTAAAATCTAGGGTGCCCAGCATATGAGTTGTATGAAAAATCTGCGATTTTCTAGTTGCCGGAGGGCAAAAGTTGGGCACCAGGGGCCACCGGGCTCTGCTAGAGCACAGCCCTGATGTAAAAAAACCCACACTATTGTTTGAAAAGAGTAGGGAAAGTTTTCTTCGTGTGGTCTACATTTCACATGTCATTCATATCGTGGGCTATGAGTGGGTTACAGTGAGCTCATAAATGGACTGATAGTGGCTGCCCTTGGCGCCCTTGTATGCTGATGTCTGTGCTTACTGTTAACATGTTATATGTAATGTAAAGAGGGTGCATCTCGTTGTCCTCTAATGCACGACATTCCATTCCACATATTTCCAAGAAAATAGTTATGTTGACAAGGCAATGAATGTTATGGTTCTGTAGAAATCAATTTAATGAGGCAAGCCTAAGGGAGAACCCCTCTTTCTAAAGAAATGACTACTGGTATATTGAAAACAAATTAACATTTGAAAACAAGATTGTGAATGAAAGAAGAAGGTGATTGGCCATTATTTTGCAAGTTGCCCGAAACCTCTTTCTCAAGATGAGGCTGTGTGTGAAGCCTCTGATATGAAAATATTTTTTCGGTTATAATGCTAATACATTTCATTATGTAAAAGGTTTTAAACTTAGTCTTGGAACTTAGTAATGGTACATTGCAATGAATTAATTCTGCACAGGATACCCATACTGTTGATGTCCTGTGTTTGCATGACTAATATGGGCATCCCACATTGGTATGGGCTGGCTCTGTGGCACATTCTTCTAGTTGTGAGACAGCTCACATGTCGTCTGACAAATGTTTGGCCAAATTGTCAATTGATCCTGTAAGACTACCATAGACATCAACATAACCTGGATGTAATCAACCCTGTGAAATGACAAAATGTTAAATGGGATTCAAGTTTTTGACCCAATCCAGGTTTTGTTAACACAACAGACTAGTAGGATTGATTTGGATTATAAACAACTTTAAGGGTGGGACATAAACCAGCTAAAAATCCTGTCAGCAGCAGACTGTGCTCATTCCAGCAGGCAAGATGTGGATGTCATTTGTTACTGAGTTAATTTTTGAAGTCAGGATGAAGCAAATAAAAAAATACACTCTCAGAGAATAAGGCTGTTATGGAAGAAAATGAATATTAGGAGCATGGATAAAACTGATATGAAACCAGGGGTCAATTTAATTAAACTTTGACATGTGACCAGCATGGCTATTGTCAAACTCTATAAAAAATAGCTACACTTAGAATTTACACTTGTACAATATACACTAAAATTGGCCCTTGTGGCCTCATGGGCTATTGACTCAAAGCCCATTCAGGCTAGGGGAGTAACTGTTAAATATACTAGTATAAGGTTTTTTTTTTCGCCTCGTTTATAAACACAAGACTTCTTGATGTACCCCTTGTACAATTCTGTTCTTTAAATTTAGCGACATTAAGTACATCCTCAAGCAACTCTAAAATTTTCCAAGAAAATTAATGTCATTGCACCCCATTTTTGATGTACTGTTTAAAACACAAGCAGGCGTGTATTATCAGCTTTAAATACTCGAGGCATAGCCGAAAGTTTATAAACGTGATTACTACTGTGAGTTTTTTGAATGGCTTCAAAATCTCTGATATAGGTCAACTCATTCTTGCACTAATATTTAGATTTGGGGTTATTTTGATCTAAATAATGGCAGAAAGGTTAGCTGTGTCTTTATCAGATATAAAGACACTCATTAAAAATTAATTTCTTTTTTTTTTTTTAATTGTTAATGATTTTTTGAAGTTATGAATTATTATAGATGATTTGTGTTATGTTGTTACATACAATTCCATACCCTTAATGATCTTTAATATTTGTTTTTTTTTTTAGATTGAATTTCTTTTACGTGAGAAGATGAAAACTGCATATTATATAATAAAGAACACATTTAAAGAGTTTGACCCAGAAGGGAAAGGAGTTGTTGGCAGGTATATGGTCATATATAGCTCTAATAAAATGAATGAATACTATCCTGCAGAATACATCAGGGCGCTGTTGAAACTTGTACTTGTACAAATAAAAAAAAGACTAAAATTAATATACATGCATACAGGGAGTTCCTTCATTATTCCAAATAAATTAACATTTTTATGTTTTCCTGTTAAACAATAGGATAATTTTAAATTGTATCATGCAGCTGAGAGACTCTTGGATATTTTTTTATTCTATCATACAGCTTGGGGTTATTTGTTTATGACATTCACATTTATTCCAGCTGCCTGGTTTACACAATTTTGCTGTATTACAAGGTGTGAAAAGAGTAAAAAAAGATGTCCGTAAGGGGAAGTCCTTAATTGCCTGTTATTATTTGTTTTGAAAATACTACAACATCTTAAAAGAAGTCCTTTGAATGTCTGTTAGCTTCAAGCAACTGGAAAGTGGTTTAAAAACTGGAAAACATGTTCTCTGAACGGTTTTCTGGTGTATAGAGTTACGTTCATGCATACATATTAGGGAAAGTTCATTTAATATGACAAGGGGGGGGGATGAAGATATTGAGGGGGGGCTCAGAAAATTTTTAGACACCGGAAGGGGGGGCTCTGAAAAAATTGTTGCGCTAGAAGGGGGGGCTCCGAAAATTTGTATACTTCAAAACCAACACATGACATCATCATACAGATCGGATGGTTTTCAACTCAACAATTTAATGACCTGTGCAACTCAGCTATATCACGTGGTTTACAGATATAACAAATGTAGTCTCAGTAATTATTACACTCTTGTTCATCCCAAAAATGCTTTAGAAAATTTCAAAAATTAGAAATGCTCAAACTTTTTATAATAAAACCACATTGATTCAACAAGATTTCAAAATCTGCTAACGGGAACTATAAAAACGATGACTCTGTAACAAGAAATGTTAAGAAATGAAGGAGGAGGGGGGGGGGCTCTGAAATTTTTTCGACTACCAAGGAGGGGGCTCCTAAAAAATTGAACCGCTAGCGAGGGGGGCTGTTAAAATTTCAAGCTTCGAGTTTCAATATCTTCATCCCCCCCCCTTGTCATATTAAATGAACTTTCCCTTATTACTTCTTTTTCCCCCTTTATCACACAGGGAAACGTTGGCAAGGATTTTGCAAAATTTTTTGTCAAGGTCTATTAGTTTGAGTCAATTTAACAAGTTAATGGTTCGGTAAGTTAAAAAGATCTAAACCTTAATTAGTCTCTTCCTTTTATTCCTTATGATGAAACAGATAAACTTTAGTTTTAAAGTCCCTTTGTGCCACGTTGAGCACCTACATATATGCTCTGCGTTAAGACACATGTTCAATTTGTACACTCCATGGTAATGAAGTTATACATCTTAATTTTGAAGATCACTTCCTGGATGATCACTTCAGCAGTGTCAGATACAGAATATCTAAGGCTAGGTTTGGTGAAGAATTCTGGTTTTGCCTCGCATACTACAGAATCTGTTTTTTTAAAAAATCAAAGTGTTATTGCTATAGCAATAAATATGTGAAACTCTTTCTTTTAGATTAAAACTCGACCATAAGAAGATGATATCATATGATGAGTTTTATGCCTCTTTTAGGCCTCCAAAGGTGAGATATAAAGTAATCCTTTAATAATAGATTATTAAATTATAGGAGTGGAGAAGAGGATGGGCTGAAATCTACTGTTGTTTTCACAAATATAGTTTATTTTGTTACGTTTGCAGAGGTTTAAATGATGCAGTCATACCTCCAATAAATACCAAAAGCAAAAAAAGAAATAGTGTGTAAATGACTGGCAGTCGCTCATGGAGGTTTTCAATTCCGATGGGCTCTTATCTAATCTTTATATTTGGTCTACGGATAAATAAAGTGAACTAAGTCTGGGGATTTAGAGCACGGAGGCAAGGAGTAAAGATGTTTGTATTTAGGTTTAATACCACCATTAAGTGTTTGGAAAACGTTTAGCAGCAGCCGGCCATATAGCCCCAGCCAAGTACCAAATACCATAGTTTAAACCTCTCGTAAGTGACTATTTCCTGCAAGTGTCCTCTAGAACCTGGCATTTTAGGTTGCTTACAGGAAACTTTACAGTATATAAAATATGCTTAAAGCAGTGTCTTGGATTGGCGGTTTGTCTGTTATATCATGGCAGTAAGGGTTCCTGTTTAATAGCTGGCAACAAAGCCGCAAGGTTTGATGAACTTTAACAACATTTGATGTTGAATTCTTCTATTCCTGTTTTCAGAAAGCTGATGAAGGACCTGCTTGGCTGGAACTAGAGAAGCCAGAGTTAAAATGTATGTCAGCTGCACAAGTTCATGCGCACCTGAAAGAAAAGGCCAAGCAGAGGTAGTTGCTTATTTCTGATACTGCATACATGTAGGACCATGGATTTCGTAATCATTAGCTACTCTTAAACCTGTGTGGCGAAGTCGTTAACGCTGTACTTTTTGTGAGACGAACAATTCGAATTTGGGCCAATCCAAAATTGTACCGTTCTCCAGTTGGTTTTGATTTAAACGTTTAACTTACCTTAAGCTAAAAACCAATCGGGAATTAAAGAATATTAGAACATATATTGATAACTTCTGAATGATTGACTGTGTTCTGGATACGAAAGGCATTCCAGAGTCGAAATTCCAAGCTACAGTTGTATTAAAGAGCTTGAAAGCGGTTCAAAACTAAAATACCCCTTCCCGATGTTGTTTTAGCTTTTCATACACTAGTCATTAACAGTCCCAGTAATGAAAATAGTGGATAAAATAACGTGTATACGTAGCTTGGAAAGGGGATTCTTGAGTTCGTTTTTGTAGGTGACATTTCCCGTAAGAAAGAAAAGGGTTTTCTGCATAAAACATCTCTCTTGGCTTGTGCTGTTTAAATTGTACTGCTAGCTAGGCTAGAAAAGTTATTAATAAGCTCGCTCTGGTTGTTGTGTTTGCTTGTTTTTGTTGTTTAGTGGGGCTTTGAATTACTTTGAACTGTCTTGAGTTTACTGACCGATCTCACAGCATGCAGGAAATCTTCGTCATTCACGCCAATTAAGCCCAAACGTAGAATTCATTATTAAAACATTTAAAGTTGATTTGCTATGAAAGGCCATTTCTAAACATAGTGGGAAAAACAAGGCAACCAAGAAAGATAGAGCTGAAAGCAACGAGCGCTAAAATTTCGCATGTTTCGTTTTTAGGTTTCTGGATGTTGCAGATCTGATACCGCAAATGAATCCAGGTGGTTCAGGAAGGATTCTTAAACCGGAGCTTAGAAACGTTCTTAACAAGATGGGGTTTTATATGGAGGACGATGAATTTGAAAAACTTTGGCTTAAATACGACACCGAGAACTATGGAACGATCCGGGCTGAGAGACTCATGAGCAAACTTGGTATTGCCATGCGAGACGGCAGCAGCAGAGATGACGCTAGCTCTCCTAAGAAACTTGAAGTTGAAAGAAAACAGTCGCTTGATGTAGAAAGATGGCTAAAGAGGAAATTTCGCGAAGGATTTTCGGATATGAAACACGCATTCATGGAGTTAGATTTAGACCGGATTGGTAAAGTTAGTCGAGATGAATTCAGGCGCGTTATGGAAGAGTTTGGGCTGAGATTGAGCACCGACAAACAACTGGATGACTTTCTTGCCAGGTAAATGCTAATCAAATTACACACGCGACGGTTGTGTAAAAGCTGGATAGCGCTATCCAACGGATAAATCATAATCCAGCGGACATGCATTAAGGAAACCAATTGCGTTATCCACTGCATAGATATTTATCGAGTGGATAGTGTTATCCAGCCATTACACTGCAAAACAGCCGGATTTTTTCACGAGCCTCACACGCCCTCCGTTTTCAGCCTCGCTGCAGCCCTTTTGTTTGACTGTTCGAGCGTACTTGAATACGCAAAAATACGGACAGTTTTTCTATCTACAACAACTGGGGCCAGATGGATGAAACCAAAGAGTTAGTTTCTAAGACTGTGGGAACTGTGGTGTTGCGTCCATAGGGGAGTGAAATACAAGGATTTTGTTTTACCAAGTTTGTTGATAAGGTAGACTGTTCACCGTAAGGGATAGAGAAGCTGGCTTTTCCAGCACTAGTCCTTCGTCCGAGCGAATTCGCCCTGAATTAAGAAACCTAATTTCACCTACAAGCAATGCATCCAATTTTTCGTTCCCGGCTTTGTGTTTGCGCATGTGCCAGCGTTCGTTTTTGCTTGAAGCACAAGAATCTTATGAAGGGCAGTTACAATCAAACCTGTACTAAGCGGCCACCCTTAGGGAATGGTTTACTGACCGCTTAATACAAGTTTACCGTTCAATGCAGTTTTAACAAATCAAAGAGTTATTCAAGAAAATTAAGAGGGTGAAGGACGAAATATCTATCCCGCGAACAAACTGACCTCAACCTGTTTCTACCTCTACTGGTACCAAAAGAAAAAGAAAAAAACCGTACCACTAAACGCCACACACAGTATAAAATGCCGCATTAGTATGGTTGGTGAAAACAAATAAAAAACAACTCATTGGAACCTCGGAAAAGGTGACCGCGACCGCTCAATAGAAGTGACCGCTTAATACAGGCCAGTTTTAGAGTAATAAAGGGAAACTATTTTCGGGACTTAAGTAAGTGACCGCTTAATAGAGGGTGACTGCTTAATGCAGATCCGCTTAATACAAGTTTGACTGTATACGTGAAAGGATGTTTTCTCGTTTCTCTCTTTAAGTATGATTTGATGTTTTTTCTCACAGGTGCGGCATTGAAGGATCCAGCGGCAAGATTTCTTATAAAGAGTTTCTCCGTCGATTTCAGGACCGAAGCGAGCAAGGAATGCCGCATAAAATTTTAGCCAATCCACTACACAGGTATTGTTGACTCTGTCCAATTTTAAGTCTCTTTTATTGGGGGCGAAGCAAGGGTCTACCAAAATTTTCAGACCATCCACTTCTTTCGTTTTATCGTTTTTAATCGAAAACTGTAAAAAATTCCCTTGAAACTGAAACAATACTTACCTTCCCTGTGGGAAAAGAAAACAGCTTTGTATATACTAATACTTTGTTTCATTTTCTAAGGTATCACCATAGTGATGCTGGAAGTAACTACTCGACCACTTCAGCGGTCGAGGCCAGAATAATGGACTTATTTCAGAAAGACTTTCTGGCCCTTTTGGGTACATTTCAGTAAGTATTGTCTGTTTTTGGTGGTGAAAGGTGGCTTCTTCTTTTGTCAATCAAATTTTTACGATTTAGTGGGATGGTAATGATTTACCCCCGGGAATTATCACTCCAGTCGTGGTTGCTTAAACGTTGGATAACGTTTTGTTTATTTTCATTTGGATACTAGCAGCAGTGCTACTCTTGAAATCCGAATGTTGAAATACAGTTTCTCTCTCTCTATCTATCCCCTGGACATGACTGGATAAATCACTCTCCAGCAGATATGCATTGGGGAAACTATTTGCGTTATAGAGAATTATCCGATGGATAGCGTTATCCGCCTTTCAAACTTTCTACGTTTGCTGCTTTTTTTCAGTCAAGTTTCCTCTTATTGTCGTTGAAGACCAATTTGTTCGGAATCCACAGTCGTGCCAACTCATATAGTTCATTTACTGTTAACCCAAGAAAGAAACATACAGGGCTTCGAACGAGCTTTTACTGTTGTTTTAGGTAATCGAGCGAAACGCAAGAGATGCCCTAGCTTTATTGAGGCGCCTCGCGGCTCGCCACTTGCGCGCGTCTAGCGCGACTCCAATAACCCTTGAACTGCACACAGGCTACGAACAACTCAGCCCAGGTTTAGTTTTACTTTAGTTGGCTGCAAAGTTTTAACTCTTTCATTTTGGCCAATGATAAATTTGGAGCGATATAAATCCAATATAATTAATTGCCTTTATTTGCAGCAACATTGACCGAAAAGATTCTGGTCTTCTCACGCAACAGCAGTTCCGCGCGGCTGTTGAAGGAAGGTTTGAATTGAACATGAGTGATCAGGAATTTGACGCGTTTCTGAAGAAAGTTCCTATTGATAATGACGGCATGGTTAAATACGTCGAGTTCATGTCCAAGTTTGACACTTTGTGAGTATTGGGTATCCCTGTTGATAGCTTTTTCTTAACTGCCTGTCCCGTAGCCAAAAATTTGGGTAGTCTGCCTCTTACCCCTAAGAAACGGCTGGGCTACGGGTCGCCTGTTCCAGGCGTTTAGATAGTGGGGAGCAAGTTAAATCGTACGCGGCCAGCGCAAAAAGAAACACGAGAGAAAAAAAAAACGAGCGGCGCCCCAATTTTTTGCCCGCTCCCCACCATCCGAACGCCTGGAACAGGCTAGGCTACGGGCTTGAAAGATGATGCCATTATCACTTTTGGGAGAAAATAAACGCACTGAGAATCATTGTATTAAGCTTGAAAGTACTAATTTGGGACACGATTTTCACGTCTCCTACTGGAGACGGGACTGTCATTTTACATGGTTATCCGGGCCCTGGGAAAGTTTCCTACAGAGGAATGGTTTTGACCTGGGGATCGAACCCGCGACCTCCCTCTTTGCCCAAGGGGACCTTCCTAGTATAAGTTAATGTGTCGCTGGATAGGGTATATTTAATATAGTTTCTAATATGGGATCCCACATTTTCGAGATTTTAGTGGTAAGAAAGGATTTAAAAATGGGAAGATTTGCGATTGAAAAAGTGATAGGAATTGACTAAGTTCGGATTGCATTTGCCAAAAAGTGACAAAGATGGGGTCCATGATGGGCCACAGAATAGACTATTATGGGGTAGGGCTTCTGAGAGGCCAGCGGCACATATCCACCCAAAAATCGATTCCTGTCCTCCCCCCGGCCGCTCTGCAGTCAAGCGCTCTACTACTGCGCGTGTCCTATACGTAACTCAAGGCCAGAATATTCGCCTACCTTTACCCGTACATCTTAAGGTCTCCAATATTGAATTTTTGTTTTGTATTTAAACAGTGAAACAAAAAGTCTGTTTGACCGATCAAGCGTCATGGATCGTAGGGACACTCTTCCTCCATTACCGGAGAGAGACAGCCCGCCAATGTCACCTAGGAAACAACTTCGACCAATCAAGACCATGGATTCGTATAACAGCCAGGAAGGGCGCAGTGTAGAGGAACTGAAAGTGATCATTAAGAAAGTGCTCGAAAATAATTATCAGGCTTTTGAAGAGGTGAGCTAGCTAATAGAGGCTTTCAGTATCAGGTTTTTCTAGGAAAAATGCAAACCGTTAACTGCAGTTTGCAGTTACGCGTTTGCAGTTTCACGTTGTCAGGGTTTCGATTTCAGCAAAACACTCGATGTTTAGTTCCGCCATGTTGTTATTCGTCAAGTCGCAGTGCTTCCCTTTTAACGCCCTTAAAACATGAGGAATTCATTGTTCCGAGTTCAAAAATCTAACTGGCGCATCACAAGCGGGTGTAGAAACCTATCTCTTGCCTTTAAAGATGAAGCTAGCCTTACAATTTTTAGTGACAAGAAACCTTGCCGTAAATCACTTACTGCTGGAAGCTCCCTCTGCCGTTCAAACGCGTGAAGAACCGTAAACTGCAAACGCGACCGCAAGACCGTGGTCATGTGGCATCCTTAGGTTTGCCGTTTAACCATGAAAAACCGGATGCTTATAGTCTCTAATACGGATGCAATTCGCTGAAGCCACTCTCTTGGACAACGGGAAAAACGCGCTTTCTCGAAAGTCCCGTAATTTTTTTCCGAAGCCGTACTTTAAGATCCATTGTATAGTGCGCGTCCATGCTCACAAATTGGTCTATTTTGTTTAGTTTATTAAAGGCTTTATTGTAAACATTTCAGTGTGTAAGAGGAGTTCAATCAATCAATCAATCATTTATTTTAACACGTTTCGTCAAAGAGCTAAAAAAACTCGTTCAAAATACGAACGTGTTCAGAGCTACACCCTCTATTTCTCTTTAGAGATTGTTGAGCGGGCGCGCGTATGAAAATGAAAACCGTGGGTGTTTATTGGCCGCTAATACAAGGGGGTTGGGGTGAGGAAAGAAGAAAATAGTTTCTTCATTTTTTTTCTCGCGCTCGCTCTCACGCTTTCACTATGCTCACACGTTCGCCAAATTCGTCGGAAGAAAAAAACACCAATTCGTCAAAAAGGTAAAACGTCTGTGAATAGGCTATACAGATGTGCATTTTATCATCCCTTCTAGAAAACTAGAAAGTTGTTTATGTACTAGAAATGTAAAATTGGCTTAATGCAGTATGTGGAAAACTTCAAGTAACGCGTGTCTGTTGTTTTCAGGCTTTCAACGAACTTGATGAACTGAACAGCAAGAGAATGACAAAAAATATGATGATTAAACTGCTGAAACAGTAAGGAGTTGGTTTACACCTTGTTACCTTTACATGTTATCACGAAGGGCAAGTTAAGAGCAGGAAAAAACGCTACTGTTTGCGTAACTATATGCCTCATTTTATGGATGATTATAGTGTGACTTATCAATAAAAAGCATCTGAGCGTTTTAATTTCGCTGTACAAGTTTATTTTAACTCTTGAACGGTGTGTAGTTTTATCATTAGATCATTAGGCACCAAAAAAGTGCAAATCTGTTGACCTTTTTTTCCATTCATCGTCTTGAAAATACCTTTACCTATTATAACGTGGCTTTAACTTTTCATTATGAAACTATAGTTGTATACTTACGAACAAATTCTGTTAGTTTTGGTAGATAAATGTTCGTATCAGCGAGACAGAATAATTTTCATCATGCATATAGTTCAAATGAAAATTGTTCTCTCTCGCTCATACGAACATTTAGGCCCGGTTCAGACGCCGCTCCACTCATGTGCCGAACCTAACTGATGAATTAAGTACGGCAAAAGAGCGGCGTCTGAATCAATTTGGTACGGCAGCTTCAGTTTGGTGCGGCAAAAGCGTTGAGTTCGACAGAGTCTGTCGAACTTTTGTCGAAGTTAACTTAGGTTCGACACACAGTACGCCGTCTGAAACAGATGTCGCGCCAGTGTCGAACTTATTCAGTTGGGTTCGGCACATGAAAAGTACGGCGTCTGAACCAGGCCTTAGCTTCCAAAACTAACAGAATTTGTTCGTACGTTCTTAGTAAAGGATTTGCTAATGTTTTCTCGTATTTATTTTTCTCTGGCAGGTTTGGAGTAACTGTAACGCGTGATGAAGTGAAGCGACTCTGGGACACTAGAGAGCTTATTACAGATCAGAGGGGTTGCCTTGAATACCGGGAGTTCGTACGCACATTCGGCTATTCACTACGATCTGCAGGTATTTATCTTTTTATACAGGGTTTACTTCTCTGTTATAAAATTAAAACATGATCCATTTTCCGACTGAGAATAAGAATTCAAATAAGACATATTTGTCACATCTCTCAAGGGGTTTAGGATGTATAAGTTTCTTTTATGTCGAGTAATCGTGTTCACGAGAGAGAGGGGAAGTCAACGCCCCCATCAAAGCCATTGTTTAGCCCGTTTTACGTTCAGATTCTGAGTGTTTAAAACTGTGGTTGGCTAGAATTAATTATGTTTTAATCACTAACATAGGGCCTTGTTTGAATTGGTAGAAATCGTTATCAGGCTAGTGTCAATATCTTTCGTCCTTTGAAAAAGTCTCGTCCTTCTTGTGTGCCCTTCGCGTTCTCGGACGGTTGACTTCCTTTTCAAACGCGTGCCTCGCAGGGCACGCCATGACTGGCGCGCTGTGGCTAGCGACGCAGGTCACGTGGTTTGGTATCTCCACAAAGCACGCTCCTGACTGCGCCGCAGTTCTTGGAACATTTTATAACAAATAATGACATAATTGTGTGTTACTGTACTAATTAATACAGCCATTTCATGAAATTCATAATTTATTGCTCTTCTTCAGCTTTCCCAAATGCTAAAGTTTCTCCACCCAAGAGAGGTGACAATGATTTCATGATGCGCTCGAACAAGCTGAACAGTGATAAGCATCTGTTACACCACCTGCTTAAATCAAACATCGACAAACACTGGGAGACACTCTGGAGTGAATTCACCTCAATTGACCGTCAGGGAACTGGATGCGTTTCTAGGAATGATTTTAAGGTAAGGTGATGTTTTATGGTTTCATGTTAAGTTTCATATCCACGGAGGATATATAGGTCTTTTCTCGAGTCGCTCCAAACCTATTTTTCAAAACGAGGCTTTGGGCAAAGTCTTTGAAATGAAAATAATTTTCAGTTGTCATGCAGACGAAACTCGAATTTGCAGCTGGCCTCGTTTTGAAATTTGGGGTTTTGGAGACTCGGAAGTGGCCTATTGGTTGAGTCCTGGACTTGGAAGAGGTAGACCCGGATTCGACACCCGGCTGAACCTACACAAAGGCGCCACTTAAAAAAACTGAGGAGAAAGTGCTATTTTTGTTCTTACATCTACAAGTGGTTATTTAAGATATTCTAGTTTTTTCGGATAAGGACAAAAAGCCATAGGCCCCGTATCACAGCGCTTTCGCTGATCTATTGTAGCTGTTGTGGGCCGTAAAACATCCTACAGGGCTCTCCGTAAAGAGTAGGGAACATACGCAAGAGTAGTGCGACAGCACTCCTAGTATCTTACAAACTGAATTAAGAGTACATCGTAAAAGCATGAATGATTACTGAGCAACGGTATGCATTATACAGAGTACTTTCAAATAGGCGTCAAAGCTACGTCATGGTATCGGCAGAATCTATTCTAAATATTTGAAGTTTGTCGTTTATTATCCATGTCAATCTCTTCCAAACTAAAACATCTTTAATCCTCTGTATTAATCCTTTCACCTTTTTGATGTATTTCTCCCCTACAAAATAATTTTGAGCTTTCTTTTGGCAGTTGTCATTATATACGTTGCAAGGTAATGATTAACATTAACGTCACAGTTTAGCTCTTTGATAGCATCGTCCAACGTTGAAAATAACAATTAACAAAAGTCTTTCCGCCAGCTGCAACCTCCCCAATAAAAGACTGCAGACCACCCTGGCCAATGGTGTTGCACTACATAAAGAGAGGACTTATGAAAGAGAAACGGGGAAAGGACGATTGCAGATGAACAGGCTCATCTCTCACAAACCCACTTACATCATGTCCATACTAATGTCGTTGAGAATCGAATTTTGTCTTTCTTTCTTGCACACCTATAGTTTATTTGATAATGCACCTTACTTGCGGCATAAAAATCTTATATGGTTCTCTTTCACAGAATATTTTGCAAGGTTTATGCATGGAGTTAACAGATTACGAGACTCAAGTATTATGTGACAAATTTGACCCTGGAAAAGAGGGAAGGTGAGTTATGAAATAAGTGCAAATTTTGAGAAACTCGTTTACTATGTAGCCTTACAAATGACTGATGATTCCAAATGTCTTCCACAGAGTAAACTATATAAAGTTTTTAGAACCATTCTCCAAACATCGAAGAGGTTTTCGACATGGACACAATATGCAAGCTGTTATGAAGCATCCTCAGGCTGAACTGGTAATGAACAAGTACTGTGTTACAGCTCAAATTAAAGTATTGGTGACCCAAGGAAAATAGTGCTTAGAAAAAGTAAACAGATCGACTTTATTTTCCAAAAGTAGAAAACCCTGAAAATTTACTTGTGTGTAAAATCCTACTCGTTACTTTTCTCGATGAAAATATAGTTTTACTTCTTTTTCGGTTTAGAAGTGTTGCTATGAAAACGACATAGTTTTATATTTAAAATAAGTGTCAAAATCAACAAACAGTAAATTATTCCTTCAGTTCCTTGGATATTATAGTTATTGAGTGGGTCAGGTTTTACGTGTTTCATTTGTCAATTAATTTTCAATCAAGCTGGTCCTTTGATCCGTTTCTGTTGGTCAGTAAAGACCTTAAAGTTAACGTCCTTGTTGGTCATCGCTCATGCAGAAGTTTAGCTAGCGGCCCTGTTCAAATGTCGAACTTTTCATGTGCCGAACGTAATCCTTCAGTTAAGTACGTGGAAAGGTCTCCGTTTGAATCAATTTAGTCTGACATGTCTAATTTAAGTCGACCCATGAATTAACTTTTAGTGGCGCACATGAGAATTTCGACTACGGAGCATTGTACATAGTGAAAATGAAATTGAATCCGACGTTTGAACTGGGCCCAAGTCTCGATCATACGTTTTAGTTTTTAGGTGATGCAAACGTTTCGGGTCAGGAATTCTTTGATTTGTTTACAGTGATGTCGTAAAAGCAAATTAATTTGTTTTAAGGTGTGCAGATTCAAAGCAGTCTACTGCATGTCTCTATTGAAGCTTTAATAACGTATATCAACATGGTATCAATAATTGTTTGTTTCTTGGATAGCCTATGGATGATGTTGTTCAAAAACCCAACAAAGGATTGTCAACAGTTACAGCAAAACTAAGGGAAAAGGTACTAGTCACATGTTTACGTGGTGAATTTGCGCTATGAAGCTCCCTTTTTTATAATACCGCGAAACAATTTGTACCTCGTGACTAAGTTTTCCCTACATTTATAGTCAGCTGATTATTATTTCTACACAAACATAAATAGTTTCGTGTTAGTTTTATCCATTATTTTTTCTAATTTGAGAAATGTTCAAGCTGAATATGCCGTTAACGTGATTCTAAATCTCCCTTATTAGTAGTTTGTCAACACGAGCAGGAGTGTTTCGTGAGGTATCCAAACACCGGGAAGTGTCACTTTTCCGTGTCTACATATCAGATGAATATAGCACGGGGTTATAAAAAACAGGGCGCAGCCAAGTTGCGGTGTGTGATATGGCTTCTCAAATGTTCAGCAGTTCTTGAAGAAGTCTAAAAAAACTCAAATTCGTTAAAATTGTTCCACTCGTCTGCCACAGTATATTGAAAATTCTTGTTGATTGTGACAATAATAGCTTACATACCTTTCCAGTAGTAGTTCTAACTACAACTTTCTTAAAGGAATAAACCTTTCTACATGCCTACAGTCTGTATCCTTTCACAGCCGTTTAGAAAGTCAAGAGAAAGCGAAAAATTAAATGAGGACAAAAACGCGAGGGAAGACTGGGGCTCCCCTATTTTTGCTCCAGTCTTCCTTCGTTTTTTCCCTGCGTTCTATTTTTCGCCCGCATTCCACAATCTGAACGCCTGGAACAAAGTAGTCTTTTTTAAGAAGTCCGTAGAAATGGCAAAACAGCTTTGTTGTTCGATCTTCTGTCTTTTAACGTTTTTCTTTTTCGCCTTATTTCTTTCAGTTGTCTGGAAAGTGGATTAATCTCATGCGTGCTTTTAAAAAGTTGGACAAAGATAACAGTGATTTTCTAACCCTCAAAGAATTCCGTCATGTGTTAGAGTTGTGTAATGTGGTGTTGGACGAAGAGGATATTTATCACATTTTAACGGAATTTGACGAAAACAAAGAAAAGAAAATCAGATACACAAAATTTTTGGACAAGATAAAATAATTTATAACCTGTACTACGAAAGCGTGTGTGACCACTGAAGAATCATTGAAGTCTAGAAAGGCCATGAACATTGGATCGAAGTAATGCTTTTGAAGGCCTGAATCCTTGATCAAGTGCTCTTACGTTCCCCATATGAGGGTTTCTTAAAAGCGTCCAAAATTGTTGTTAATACTAAAAACAGAAGCCGCTGTCATCCCAAGCTGTGGAAACCCTAAAATAGAAGCTCCGCCACTCTGTTTAGCCATAGTTAATTGAGTGGAATGGTTATGAAACCCGTCAGACTCCTTTGTTATATGTTTTTGTGGACCTGAAAGTGCACAACGTTCAAAAGAATTCCTATCATTTTGATTGTATTGACCAATAAAAACGTTGCATTAATTTATTCCGTAACAATTTGCCAACAGAAAACAAAGGATTGTGCACTTTCAGGGTGCTTCCAACATAAACTGAAGCACTGTTGTTTTTATCATTGATGTTTGCCGCTTTTCATAACCAGTCTCCTCTAATAACTATGGTTTAGCTTAAGGCTGGCCTCCATGGCTCAGAAGGACGTCGGACGTCTTTTGAGATTTACACTGTGTATGAGCGATCAATTGGTAGCTTTTAATTGTTGCAACTCGTACAAGTGCGTCAAAAATTAATAACAGCTCTCGGCAGATACAATCTTGGACAGAATAAAATGGGAAAGCAATTCCCTCTTCCACTTAAAATACGATAAGGCCGCACGAAGACCAAAATGCACCATTTTCCGGTCCTTGTCTTGAGTTGGGGTAGGGAGGAAGGGGGGCTTAATTTCCGTCTATTTTGTCTGAGATCGTAGCCTTTACTGCTGGAGAAGTGATAGACGTAGGTCCAGTTTGAATTGAATTTCGATTACCGCTGCACTTCCTGCGATCCAGTCCTTACATTTAAATGCCTGAAATATGTTGTACTTGAATTAATCTGAATGGAAGAGAGCGGCCTTCCTCTCGGCTATACAATCTATGGTTTCGTAGAGTATCGAGAAATTGATTTTGAAAGTACATCGTTCATCAGCTAACAGAAGCCTTATGTAACGAGAAACAAAACAGTTGACTCCTCAAGTCGATAATATGGTTCATGTTGGATAAACGAAATAAGTGGTACAGTCGACGACTTGCGACTAAAGTCCAGTTCTTAAAAATCAGAAAATTTTATGTTTGAGAGCGTATTGTAATTTTGCGATTAAAGTCATTGTGACATTTCATGATTCTGACACTCTTATTTGTACACATGTAAGTTATAATTTTTTCTCTTACGCTGTAAAAAGTATTAAATAAATGAATAAAAACTTAATGTTTACAAGCCGGTTGTCGATCTACCCATGCAGTTACCAAACCCATGTGAAAAGTGTGTTGAAAATACTTTGCTGATTTTTTTTATTTTTCAATCAGTTCATGGACTTTTACATTGAACTTCGGAAAATAGAGTGGTTTTCGTTTGAGTGTCGTAAAACCAAAACCAAAGTAATTACTCTGGCCAATCACATAGGACACAGACAATACATTGAACCAATCAAAACTCGAAGTAATTACATGTGGCTGACGCAAAACGTCACAATTGGCTTTGGTTTTACTTCTGATTGGATGAAAAGGTGGCGCGAATCTTTTAAGCCAATCGCATCGTGTAGAAAGTGCAAAACCAATTACTTTTCGACACTCAAATGAAAACCGCTCTATACGTACTTTGTCATTGGTTGTGGCTAAATGATTAATCAGGAAATATGGATTCTGGTTTTTGTAGATGCAACTGTAAGACTCTTCAGACACCTGTGGCCTCGTTTCTGAGAGTCTCTATGCTGGGATCAGTTTTAACCCGAGTTTAATGAATCATAACGACTATCAGGTGTTCGGCTAAAGGGATGAGATCCTAAGGCAACGAATTGTTAAGCAGGCCAGGAGAGGGTAGTACTCCTAAAATTCCCTATAAGGGTAGGCTCCGCCCTAAAGGGATAACTTTTTCAGGCCTCAGGTACGGTAAGGTATATCAAAGGGTGCGGATTTCACTAGTTAAAGTATATGAAGGGGAGAAAAATCTATCATTGAATGGCCTTTGGTGAAACTGTTTCGAAAAGGCGCACCTTATGGCTGTATCATTTTAACTTTTGGAACTTCTTAAACGTCCACGGTTTTTGCAGTTAATTTCTTTATTATTACGAGTAACGTAACACGAAAATGACAAAACGACTTCCTAGCGATTTATTCTTATCAAGTAGCTATGTTGAAGGGGTACCATTTTTTAATGGCAGGCATACGAAAGAAATACCCTTTCTGTTAACGGGTATATAAAAGCCGGTTAGGGTAAAGGATTGGACCTCGGGGTAAAGCCTGGCCTGCTTCTCAGACATCCGATGTCGCTCGCGTGACCGCGAACGACCTCGGACGCCTGGGAAGCAGGCTAGGGAAAGCCTTCCGGCATTAAACTTCGCAGAGCAGTCTCCCCAGGGTCAGAAAGGCTATTTTATTCAACGAGAAACTATATAGTGTAGTAAAAACTGTTCTGGTATTTTAAGCGGTTCCTCAAAAGGAGACCGTCGGTGAAAAAATCAATCCCGTTGAGCTCAGATCTTTTATGAAATATTTGATGTCATCACGTTAGCATGAAATGGAAAAAATTGTTAATCCTTATTTAATCCTTCCGCAATCTGCGAGCAAACAGGAGATATCAGGCTTGGCTGGATGCTTGGAGGTAAAACCAGGCGAGAGGCCGGAACGTAGAATGTTCATCTGTAAATGACCCGTCACCCTATCACTACGAAAAATAACTACTTGATGCCGTAGATTAATGCGCAATAATACATAACATATTTCAAATTCGTGACTGGCTTTATGTGTCGGCCACCCAAGCTCTAGAGGATGGATCGAAACTGTGGCATTCGATTATTTACGTTTCAGCACGTGCAACAACAGCGAGCTTCCTGTCATACGCCTCTAATAACCTGACCTGGGTTAAATGGTTTAAAATGATTTGTATTTCGTGCGAAGGATTTTGTAGGATTAACCTCTTCACTCTTGACATCGAATACGACGAGAGATCCGTAATTTAGTTTGAAAATTTTGAGTCTTTTGGCTGTAATCGTCGCTGGTGTGTCAATTCCTTGAAGACATTTAACGCTTAAAGTGACTGGCCGCCTTCTTAGCGGGTTTGGGGCGAGGAACAGACTAAATTCCGCCTCGTTTAGTCTTGAGTTTGTCGGTTTTAAAAGAAAAACAAAATAAAACTTGTGCTTGGATCATATGAGGTTTAATTGAGCTTCATCGAGCAAAGATTACTAAATTAAACTAGTCTGAGTTAATGCAATGAAAATTTTGTAAATAGTTATGTTTGGCCTTGCCTTGTTCACATTTCTCAGCAGTACCTCAAAGCAAAACATTCATGTTTTCATCCCTTCACTGAAAAGCTGAACCAGGAAATAGTGTTTTGCCTCTGCGACGCCTTAGAGTCCGGTGGCAAAAAAAGTGCTTGATTTAGTCCATTTTAGTGCTATGTCAGGATCATCTGAGTGCTTAAGTACATCAAAACTGACTCTCTACCCTCCAGAAAGAGGCTTTTAAGATTGGCTTGACGCAATCACAAGTAAACACATGTGAAGACATAAACTTCGAGCATAAAAACTATGTCTCTTTCAGGCCCTTTCAGGATTTTTTCAGAACCACTTTTTCGCGTGACCCTCCCGACGCTAAAATCACGCGAAACGCCTGACGCCCGTCTCCCCACCCCGGCCATCGTTGAAACGAAGATGGCTTCTCGTGAAACTTCCTACCGGAGAATAGTCAGAGGAGGGGATTGTCATAAACAGTCTATCTGCGGCTTCACGTTTTTCTTAACAGCGACAAAAGAAAAACAAATGACAACGAGTAAGATTACGCGAAGGAAAAATTTGATAGCAACTGAGCAAATGTACGTTTTCTCGAATTCTCTTTTCTGCGCATTGATTTTCCCTTTCACGAATACTGAGCCTAGAAATTTCGAAATTAGAATCTGTGTAGGCAGTTTATAAAAGGAAATGTGTATAGCTTACATCAAGAGAGAGAATGATGGAATGTATCCCCTGCCTGAGGGAAGGAATCATCACCAAAGCTAATTAGACACGGTGTTATATTATCAGCTTGTAGACTAAATGGTACGCTAAAGTACATACTTATGAGCCGCCTAACATGGGGTCAGAGTATCCCGCAAAAAGAGCGGAAAATCGCGTTTCCTGTAACGTATATTTTGATACATAGAGTGTGCCATCAATTCGAGTTTCCTGCACGCTTGACAAGAGCCGCAAATGGTGATGTGAAGGTCAAGTTCGTGTAAAAATTGCAAATTCATTGGGTTCGAGTACTTAAGAAAAACATTCCAGGCTTTTCTTGGGAAAAAGCTAGTTTTGACAGTCAACAAGGAACTGTGGAACGGTTGTGTACATAACTAGCCATGTTACAGTCATTAAATTCCTTTTTACCGTCTTTGAAGGGCCGTTCTCTCTTGATCTCAGTGTTTCATTATTCAAACTAAGATCGCTCTTTTTTTGCACCCATTTATACATGGGTACTTTTTTACGAAATCTGAAGTACAAAAGTAAGCGATTTTGAGCGACTTGAGAAGTTTTACATAGCCGATCAGCTGTTTCACTGAGCCGAAACGACTTTGTGTTCGCAGTTCCGCCAACATGTACGCACTTCGACTTTATTTCTTGAAGACCCTTTTGGTTGGGTCATCGGTCAGGAGGGATAACGGTCGACTTTCTCGCACCTCGCCTTCGTTTGCGAGAATTCGTCGCTCAAAAAAGTGAATTTGTGGGTAAGTCTGGAACACACTTCACCCTAGTACGTTTGATAAAGTGAATGAAATTTAAAAAACCGAAGTCGTCTTCTCAAGAGCTTGAGACCGACTCTTGATAGTTTACCAGCACGTCATTTCTCTTCATAATATCGCTGATATCCTGAGTACTAGTAAAAGAGGTCTTGATTGTCAAACAAATCCTCCTTGTGAGTCAAAGGAAATGTATGGAAAGCAGTGTGGAGAATACGTGTACTGATATTAGAGTTTCTTATGACAAAGTTTTCCATTCTCCCAACACACGGGCATGCGACTTACTGACGTCATCATTGTGGAAAGTGACGTTACGTTTCCTTACATGTACCTGGAATTTCCTGATTGGTCACATGCAGATCACAATGTATACTGTCCAAAGTCATCGTTAACCAAAGAAATCGACAATAAACGTCCGAGTCTCAGAATACGGCTTAAGCTGATAGTCATGTGCTCCTGCATGTGCTTAATGTTTCTGAATTTTTATGTAAAATTGTCTTTGCTTCGGCAGGGGTAGAGAAATAGAGAAAAATCCTTAGAGACATCTTACCCACAATAAAATGGCTTATATTCTGTCTGAAAACAGACGACGAGTTTCCATGGTCTATATTAAGTCGGAACAACTTTATCCTCTCTTGTCCATAATCTTTTAGACTATGACGTCAAAATCTGGATCAAAATGTTTAAAACTCAAGTAAAACTACGAGCTCAAGTAAAACTACGAGCCATTTCTATGGTCCCGGTTCTTGCTATTAGAGTATAGACCACACAACATTTTTGTCCATTTGCTTTTTACAATACGTAGATAATTTATAATGTCCATTTTCGTTGAAGTTTCTTGGGGAAAATACCCGGGGGAAAATAGCGCTGGAAAATTCATGGCTTGTCCTCTCACAGTCCACATCGCTCGACCGGACCGCGCGCCAGAAATCGCTCAGTTATTCCGTAAAAAAAGAGGTTGGCCCTTTTTCTCTTATCTCATCAAAGAGCAAAGATCGAGATATTTTATTGTAACCGGGTAGTCTGTTAATAGGAGTTATACTTCGCAAAGATTAAAACACAGTTTAGCATCCACGGAATACTCCATTTTATACACTACGGAAGGGTAGTCCATTCCACTGAGTGCAAAAACCTGGTCCATCTGAGGTAGTCCATAAACTGGGGTCACTGTTTTGTCTGTTCTTGCAGTAAAATAAAACCTACTACGTCATCCTTGGATAATCGTTCTCTCTTGAAAGTACAAGGCCGAATCGAACGACCCCATACTGAAATAGCCTGGTAGCAAGTTCTCCGAGCCGCTCTAGCGGCAGGGCTTGCTAGCAGGCTAGTACAGAAACGATGTTTGACCTTCTTAAGTTGATTTTGCCCAACGTTACTACTTTTTGCATTTACTAACTTTTCACTTTTTGTACTTTTAGGGTATTTCCGCTGAAACCTCAAATTAACATTTTGCAGCTTTTTGATAATAGTAATTGTAGTTCCTCTTCAATGTTTTACGCATACTGATTTTTCTTCCGTATAAGGCAATACTGAAATAGGTTCATTCAAGTTCATCCATTGTATTTTCTATTCCTGGCAACAATGAACTTTAAGCTTCTTAGTTATCATGGAACGGATAAGTACGCTCTGTATGTAAGCCAAAAGGTCATCTGAAACCTCTCTGAATCTCGTCTCGATCCTCTATTTAAAAAAAAATGTTTGCCTGATAGAGAAGAAAGGCGCGAACTGAAGAGAGGAATGTTTGAAACAAGCTATAGCCGGCGTAATGGTTCAAAATTATGTAGACCCGATGAAATTAAATAAACATGTTCCCATCAAGAGCCATGCTTGACACTAAAACACATCACTCTTGCTAAAACACATCACTTGTCGAATACACGAGTTTATTATCATCCGGGTTATTATACTTCAGGTGAGGTGAAAGTACTTAACCCTTTAAGTCCCAATGGTGACCAACAGCAATTTTCTCCCAACAATATTCATACCTTGTCAAGAGATAACGTTATGAGAATTTATGAAATGATCACTAAAGAGAAAATGCTTTGATCTGCTATCAAATTCTCTCAACTGATTCTTAAAGGAAATGTATGGAGATCAGTTTGGAGAATTTGTATGTGGGTATTGGGGCTTGAAGGGTTAATAACTGCGTAGTTCTATCTCCTCCGCAGAGGCTCCCGCTGGGTATCCCAATAGAAATAGCAATCCTGCAACACCAATAGCCCTCTGCGGAGGAGGGAGGGGCTTGTTTGTCATCGTTTGTTGCGCGTTGCACATCTTTTTTATTTGCTCCGTACATTCTTGCGTTTGATGTACTATGGGGGCATCTCCTGGGGCATCTACTCATTCGCCGGGGGGGGGTACTCCTGGAAATTCTTGGTGGGGGTGTGCCACCCGGTTCTCCAAATCCTGACCCTATTTCAGACTTCAGACCTGGCCTCTAAAATCCATATTCGTTTTCAGACCTGGAGGAGGTCACAGAACGCAAAATGCATATTTACAAAGACAGAAATTATATCCTCATTACTGAGATTAGAGCGCCAACAAAAAGATTTCTCAATAATTCATTTCGAATTCACACTTTATGGGTTTATTTCTCATTCATTTGGAACCAATCGACAAATATGTTGATACACCACCGTAGCTCGCTCGAAAACTATACCCGATTCCAGACCAAAATGACTTACATAAGGGAGTAGCAGCCAGGCTCATTCGCCAGTAGACGCCGTTTAAAAGCCTCTCTCGACATCTTAGTTTTTGTTCAGTCGTCTTCCTTTGGTACCGAAAACTATTGTTTTCTGAATTTTGCTATTGAAATAAAATAAAAACTAAAAAATATGCAAGAAAGTTGTTTCTGTTTTTATGTGAAGAACCAACCTGAAGCATCTCTTCCACACTAAAGAGTTTAGAAGAAATCTAAGAGTCCGCCCGGTTTTGAATAGGACGAAGCTTGAAACTTTCGCCGGGCTGTCCTTGTCCTTCCCGTTACAAAAGCTAACACTGAATCAGTTCTTTGGGCATGAAACAGATATTTGGCCCAAGGGCTGTGCGATGAATCTGATTACGGGCAAGAGAGGATATGGGGTAATCTAACATGAAACAAGCCTGAAAACGTAAACGCGGGGAGATCGGGGAAACCGGCGTGAAATCTTCATTCTCATGCACCTCAGGCTAAGTCAGAGAAAGAGAGCTGAAGAAACCAGCTTGCCGATTTGCACTGCATGCAGATCCCGGCCGCAGATGCTGAGTCTAACGTAAATTATTCACGTAAACGTACAAAATAATTCGAAATAGACTAAAATGAAAAGAGTTATGGAGGAGAGAAAAGGTCCCATACTCACTAAAGAAGGTAAGGAGGAAAAAAGAAAAAATATGAATTGCGACATGGAAATTCCAATGCTTTGTTGTTGTTGTTGTTGTCACATGGTCAAGTTGTTTACCATATGTTTGAACTTTTGTGCGGAATTAACGCAAATGCCCCCATGATGTGCCTTTGAATACTTTGACCAGGACAAAATTAGCTTATGTACAGCCTTCTACACATGCTAGAGAAAATTAAAAATTGTCCACCTACTCTTTTAGTTTACTTGTTTGTCTATAAAATGACTTGTGAACACAAAGTGTATGACTATGACCACCAGTAGCTTCTTCACTTGTCCAAAACATTGAAGGAAAACACACAGGTATGGGTCAAATAGGTGACCTTGTCTAAAAATTTTGAATGTGCTACTCGACTAAGTTTGAAGAATCGCACTGGATTAAATGCGAAAAATACAGTAGCAGTTTGTCACTAATTGTTGAAATATGATAACTTCCTGTTACTGGCTGAAATTTTAAAATTAATGGCATGGCTCACAGCTTGAGACTGGCCTAGAAGGTAAATAAAAATAAAGAAACAGCAATAATTTTGTTGCCTTTTGGCGTCAATGAATTCCCGCACTGAATTTGTAGCCAGTGGAAGCATTTTCCACGATTTTATTTTCTCCTTAGCTTTTTCTTACATTGTAACATCTTTTCGTCCAGATTTGTTCAGCCTTTTGAATATACTGAGGCTGAATCAACAGATCGCAAAATTTAATATGTTTGTTCTTCAAAACACATTACCCTATGGTTACAAAATTGAAGTTAAAATGGTTTAAGCTATTATTCAATGTTTACGATTATTAAATAGAATTGAATTGCTTACTTGTTCAATTTGTTGTTAGGCTCTCGCCAAAGTTCCATTTTAGGAAGTGCACAAAGTTTTCTCTGATTACAAAAGTTATATTTTAATTTTCTTGTCCTTTGATCCTAGCTTTTGTTGTATGGCTGTGGATTTGTGTCATTCAACACCAACTGTTTTTCTATGACAATTTGCCTGAACGAATTACCAGCATATAATTTATTTTGGCGCGTGCTATTTTCTTCAATTGAGGAGTTTGAAGTAGCAGAGATTTCAAATTTGACGGTAGTGGGCACTTGGGAAGTGAATTATATCGAGTTGCAAAAAATAGATTGATGACATCAGCAAATCACAAGGCTGTGAGTTTTTCAAACGCGTTTGGACAAGAAAATGCAAGGTCACCTTGTATAATACCTGGCTGAACCCAATCTCGAGATTTTAAGACGAATAAACAATGGAAGCTAAATGCGTTGTAAGCTTAATGAAAACATTGTTCTGTTTGTCCATTTTGGCGTAAGTCCTTGATTTAGACATGCACGAGCTTATTTTCACCTGGGGTTTTCACCCGTCAAGTTCCTGAGCCACCGGCTTCATGCATTCACCCTTGAAACTCCCGGGCGCATATGCCAGAAAACGATAAAAGATTTGTCAAACGTTTGAATCCTCGGTAAACGAAAGAAATTAAACACTGGCTAACGCTCTTAGCGTCATAACCCGCAATCTTTCGAACAAACAAACACAAACTAGTCTGTGTAATAACAAAATTACATTACATTTAGTTTGTAAAGGGATCCGCGCAATCATTGGTTCTTGCTTGATGGGGTCGCCGCATCCTGTCATCTCTCACGTGACAAGCTTCGTATTTAGCCAGAGCGCTTGCGTATGACTATACCAGTTCAACTACACGTGATGACTATAAACGCGCTGGCAAAACGGAGCTCTCAGATGGGAGAAGACATGGCGGCCAAGATCGAGGAGAGCTCCGAGCACAGTACAGATGGAGTAGCTGGTACGCCGAAGGAAGCTGCTCTGCGCGAGCTGATGGAAAGAACGAAATACCCGATCAGGCAGTTCAATGGCCAACGCAGATATGGGCCACCTCCGAACTGGAATGCACCTCCCCCTCCACGTGGCTGCGAAGTTTTTGTGGGAAAAGTTCCTCGAGATTTATACGAAGATGAATTGGTCCCTGTATTTGAGGCTTTAGGCGAAATCTACGAAGTTCGACTTATGATGGATTTCAACGGACAGAATCGTGGTTACGCGTTCGTTGTTTACACGAATAAGGAAGACGCCAAGAAGAGTGTCAAGAGTTTGAACAATTACGAAATACGTAAGGGAAAATGTATCGGGGTTTGTAGCTCAGTGGACAATTGTCGATTATTCGTTGGAGGTATCCCAAAGAAGGTTAAGAAGGACGAAATCATGACAGAAATGGTGAAAGTTACAGACAACGTTGTAGATGTAATTGTTTACCCATCAGCTCAGGACAAGACGAAGAATCGAGGCTTTGCGTTCGTTGAATACAGTTCGCATCGCGATGCTGCAATGGCCCGAAGAAAACTTATGACTGGTAAAATTCAGCTCTGGGGACATCAGATCGCTGTCGACTGGGCTGAACCGGAGCAAGAAGTGGACGAAGAAATCATGGATCAGGTTAGATTTTTATTTACGGTGCGTCGTTACCCAAAGTAGCCCCTCCCCCATCTTCGCAGTGCTAAACGTGCCTTACGATATCTCCTATAGCTCGTTGCTTTTCGAAGTTCTTACTACCAGTCGTGATTTTATTTAGAATTTACTAGTGTGGGAGTTTATCGTAATAACAGTCGGTGCTCCTTTATGCTAAGTCCAGCCTTGTATAGAGAAGTTTATTTGTTGATGTCGTGTTATTTCACTTCCTTTGTTCAACGAAGCTTGTCTTTGTCGTTGTTAAGCATTAGCTTTTTATTGGAGTAATTAGTTACTCTTTGCAGTCTTTTGTCGTTTCACGACGATTATGTCGGAGGCGCGATGCAATGCAAAAGCTTTAAGCAACCGCTATACTTCAATAGAACCGCAAGAGATCGATTTAATTTTTTTATTTGGCTTTGTTTTCAAGGTGAAAGTTCTTTACGCCCGAAATCTTCTATTAAGCACGACCGAGGATACAATAGAACAAGTCTTCAGCAAATTTGGCGAAGTTGAGCGAGTTAAGAAGATCAAAGATTACAGTTTTATTCACTTTCGCACCAAGGAACAAGCCAGAACAGCTTTGGAGGCCATGAACGGTAATAAAATTTTTATGTTTATGTTTTGTGGATCGACAAATTTTAACAGGTACAGGGAAGGCTTTTTTTGAACTAGTGAATGCAGTCCCCGCGGTATGTCAACGGAAACCCGCTTCTTTCTGTAACCAGAATCAATTGTGTTTTTTGTTTTCTTTTGTTAAAATTAATGTAAAATTTCACACTTGAGTTACTAACTTCTGTGTCTTCGCAGTGTTACCAAAAAATTCCCGGGGGATCGTTTTGACCGCGCGAAAGCGGCTTTCGAATGTTTTGTCTTAAAATTGCCGATCGTTGACCATTTCCTTTTGAGTTCGCGGAAAGAAAAACACGAATTAACGCAGGTTGAAAGAGACTTAAAACAGCTCACGCTTGTCTGTTAGCGGCTTGAAGTTTGTTCCAGTGAAGAGGGTATTTTCTTTTCTGCAAGTTTCCCTAGTGATGTGAAATCGAACACTTCACTCGAGAACGTGCCTTGTGTTTATGTTTAAGCGTTATTCAATACTTGTTTTTTTTTTCCAACTGGAGGTCCAAAATTTTGATCTTTGCTTAGTGTCGGCGAGTAGCGTAAACCACTTTGAAGACTCTAAACATAAACAGTGGTTTAGATTCAGAGGTTTTGAACGAATGTTCCATAAGGCGCTTTACTCAGCTTGGATTTAACCACTAAACGTACAGTAACTCGTGATTAAGACTCGTACTATGTCTGTCACACGTTCAGTCAGTGCACTGTATTAGACTCATTTTGGTGAATGACCTACAGAAAGTAATCCGAACTCTCCCGCTGGTTACCTTTATTATTATTGATTGCAAGATTTTTTCATATACGTGATTTCCTGAGCGGAATTTTCTGCGTTAATAGTTGGGACCTACTGGAACTTTCAAAGGCAGGAAGCCCTCTCTGTTACAAAACGTAACTTTATCTTGCCCGTACTGTTGCTAATTATAACCGTTTTCCTGTAAGCCCGTTTTAATTGTCAGTCATTTAGACTGTTTCTACATTTAGAGATGACCTTGAGAAAATCGTGGGTTGTAGGTTTAAGTTTTTTTTCGAAAGATACATTGTTTTAAAGTCGTGATGTTCTTGCTGTGCGGTTATCTCTCGTTCAAAATTCTTCACTTTTTTTTTCTATTTTAGACCGTATTTTCAGATTTTAGTCGTGACTAAGCCTTGTCTTGTGCTTTGTTCAAGGCTGCTCAAAATAACTTCTGACCACAAATGTCTCCTTTATGAAATATGTTGGAATAAAACCAGAAGACGCCTTCAAGCAGGTTTAAAAAGATAGCTACAACATTGTTCTGATCCTTCCTCCAAAAGCTGAAGCCCTCCCCTCTTAAATCTAACTTTCTGCTTGCAAATTTTTTGAGATGTTGAGGTCATAGCAGGAAAAGGTAAAATGCTGTTGTCAGATTTTTTACAAAATGTTAATTTTATTGTTACATATTTAAGAAAGATTGCTCTTCACGTCCAAATTTTAATGCAGTTGGATGTTTTGGAAATAAAGTCAAAAAAGTATGCAAGTATTAATAATAATATTGTCTGTCAGCCCTTTTTTCAGCAGGTTTTAAGTTTTGTAGCTTGGTTTCCACAATCACAGCACCCAATTTTTATGTTTGGACAAAACAATCAAGTTCATTCTACATAAATATCATAGTTGTTTTCTTGAACTACTGATGATTAAGGAAATTTTAAAAACAAAAACATCTGCGTATATACAGTGATAATTGTTTGCAGTTGAAATTTGTAACTTTACCTTCTTTTTGAAATGCCTAAGGCAAATTTTATCCACATAAATTTTACCAACCACTAAAACATTGTTTTCTGAATTTTTTTAACAAGCAAAAGGACAACCTTTTTGGGGGGTAGTAATGTGCTGAGTTGTCCATACAGATGCTTGTTCTACCCGGTTGACTTAGACATCACAACACACTTAGGTACAGTGATTGCAGTTACCTAATGAACAGTTAAAAAAGATCTCGTACAGTTTTATCATTGTGCCGCAGTGGAAAACATTTTTGCCCAAAAGAAAAAAAACATCTTGGAAAAGGGCAAAAAAGACCCCAAAATTGGACTCACTGAAGCGTCTTCACAATCGTACTGTGTGCATGCTAATCGCAGTCAACAAACTTGACTCATTGATTAAAAATATTATTCCATAGAATTTCTTTTGTTGAAAGAGCATTCTAGTTTTGGTTGTCGTAATTTAAAGGAATTTAGATGATGACTGGACAATTCACTTGTCATGATGTTTTGAGATGTGATTTTGCAAGATACAAATTACATGTCACTATCTTGAAATATCAGATAATATAGATCACAGAAAACTACAGAGGATAAAGGACAGTTTAGAATGGAGCCAATTAATGCCAGTTCATGAGAAATAAAGGGTGAATTTTTCAAGGAACAGAAACTGTGAGTTAGCTTGACCTTTAACTAAATGATAACTCGGCATTTAAAGATGAAAGGGTAAATTGTATAATTATCCAAAAACCGTAGGAGTTTAAATTATGAGGTCAGTTTTACAAAAAGGTAGTCATAAATCAAGTGCCACATTCCAACATGGCTTTTGGGTTGGTTTGTTTCTTCGTGTATGTTCAGGAAAAGTTTTACAAGCTTTTCTGGACACAGGCCTGCCCAGAGGGAATAGGCACGAATGGAACTCTTAGGTCCCATGCAAGGTGCCATCCCTACCCAATCCCACAACCTGTAAAGGTTGGCCACACCACCGGGGTCTACGTTCCCTAGTCTTTTCGAACAGTAGTCTGGGTTCTTTTACGTCCCACAAGAACAGATCAATGAAAGTGCTATGAGACGGGACCTATGGTTTTTCGTCCTTATCTGAGAAGACTAGAAAGTCTAATCATTTGCAGATGTCATTACAAAGGCAGCACTTTCTTCTCAGTTATTTAAAGACCCTGAGTGTTGGTCTGGCCGGGGTTTGAACCCGCGACCTCCCGCTCAGCAGACCGGCGCTTTCGCAACTGAGCTAACCAGGCAACGGTTAAAACCTTTTAGTAGCCCTTGCTTTGGTGTTTTGCTGTCAAAATGGTCAAGGCATTTTAAGATTTTAGATTTTCCTACACATTGCATGGCATGCATGTACAATAACACACAGATGGGGACATTACACCTAGAAAACTCACAATATTATATCAGGTTGGAATAAATACAAACTCGTGTTAATCATCATATTTCAATGTATCGTAGATGTTTGATAAAATCTCTAGCAGTAATGACTATAAACTTTCATGTTCTTTGTGCAGTTCTTGTAGAGAATGCATAAAATTAATATTCACCTATTCTTTCATTCTATCAAAGTTTTGGCCAATACACGTCAAGGTAATTAAAGCATGACAAACAGGATTTTTTGTTAAAAAACTGACGTGCTTATCCTGTGCAGAAAGATTTATGCCCAGTTCAAACATCCATCTTTTCATGAATCAAACCTAATCCCTTCAATTAAGTACATGAAAATATCAACATTTCAATCGATTAAGTTGACATGTATGGTCAACCCAAGAATTAAGTTCGAGTGGCCCACATGGGAATTTTGACTTCAGAGCGACTTGGTTTCAAACGTCAAACCTTTCATGTGCTGAACCTAATAAACAAATTACTGTAATTCATTTTTACTGGACAGGTAAACATTTTAGACCATTGTACATCGTGAAATGAATTGAGTGCGACTAATTAAGCTCGAGGTTTGGTACATGAAAAGTTTGACATTTGAACTGGGCTTGCTGGCCTTTCAGTGCTATTTTTCTCTCATCAAATTTTGGAGCTTAGTCTGCAGTGAGGCAATGAAGATTTTGGTATTACATCTGAAAGTTTTCCTGTTTAAACTGACAGAGACTTAATGTTTTTTTTCCAGGCAAGGAGCTTGATGGAAATGAAATAGAAGTGACACTTGCTAAGCCGGTGGACAAGGATCACCGCCAAGCCAAAGCAGCAGCAAAAGCCGTGATGAGTGCTACAACATACCCCAGCTTCACTCCATATGATTACCCTACAAACTCAGCTGCATATGGCTTCCCAGCGTATGGTAGCCAGTACTTTATGTATGGAAGTCCAGTGACATCGACAATGGGGTGAGAATTAGCAGGATGTCATGTAACAAATTGACAACAATTTACCATGGTCTATACCCTTATTGACCTCGGAAATGAAATGAAAAGATCCAACTGCAAAGTTCTGAATATTTTGATGTCATTTGTATGGTCGGCAAGAGTAATGGGTCATGGTAGATGGTTGATTGTTTTCTAAAATAACGTTGACAGTTTGTAAGTTCCATGTTTGTTGAATCGCATGCGAAGGAAAGAGAAAAACAATTTGTGCCACCATCATGTCATTTCTAATTTGTCTGTACTCTCAGATCAAAGATGAGTTTTGCACTTCAATTTTTTAGAATTCAAAAACCCATCCAGTGTTTTGACCCTTGAGAAATGTTGTCAGTGTGTTAGTGGCCAAAAACAATATGAACGTTTTTTTTTTTCACCAGTGGTGTGAGGCCTCCTTTTGGAATGGTGAGGACAAGAGGGCGAGGTCGATCTGCAGCTGGTAGCAGAGCAGCGGGAAATAAGGGAATGTATCTGCCTGCCACTGGTAGCTACCCTTTTAATGGTTTCAGAGGTTATTACCCTACAGTGCGACCAGGATGGTATGGAGATGGATACAGCAAGAGGGGAGGAAGACAAGAAGTATGTCCACTTGACTTTTCGCCATATTAAAAAGTTAATCCATCAACTTATCTGTTGACTATTTCCCCTTGTATGGCTTAATTGATACTGTATTCCCCTGTTACTGGGACTGGTGAAATCCGATGTTATTATATAGCAAGGTAGTTGTATTAATGTTGTTTTGTTTGTGGTAATAATCGCATATTAAGAATAGTTGAGATTCCAGCTCATGTGGGATACGAAATGGTTTTAGTAATTTCTTGGTGATGCAAATGGGCACAATCACCACATTTAGTAATACAAAAGATTTAAAAGGCACTGAAAAATAACCATCTCACAACACAATATCTAACCAACATGGTTTCCTCACACACACACACCCACCGAAAAAAAAATGGCAAGTAGCTTGCATGAAAACAAAGTAAATTGTGGGCAATGAGTTTTCATCACCATGTATACACAGAACACCCTACAGGAAACAAAATTTGGCAGAGTTTTGTTGATTACAACAAGAAAATCACGAGTTTGTCAACACTTGGAATGAAAGTACTGTATGTGATCCTAATGTTTGAGTAGTCGTAAGTTGGGAACTACTTCATGTTAAGTAAACAGGTCATGAGAATTGAAAAAACATTCACTGACTCTGGACTGTGTTGTAACTTCAGGTAAAAAACACCTCCTTACTTAAAAATTTTGTAGCTTTTGAAATTGTCATGGGAATTAGGGTTTTGAGAAATTAATGATATACTGTGACAATTTAACCTAAAACATGAATTTTCAGTAACTTTCACATGTATCTCAAAGAAAAAATTTTATTTTCTCTTGATGTTATACAAGAAAGGAAAACTAACTTAAATTTAAATACAGTGTAGATACTAGTGTTCTGAGGGGCCTAAACAAGGTGATTTAAGATAAGTTTTAGTTGGTTTCATTTAAAATGGCAATGAGCTCTAGTCTGCACCACTAAATTTTAACATCAAGAAGAGGTCTTTGTTTTGTATAAAACTTTCACACTGACTACAGTGGTGGACAAAACCCTCCATCTGTGGACTACCCATATGGACTATCCTAGAATGAACTACACCACTGTAGTTTAGTGATTAGGGTTAGGAAACTCAGTGAATCATGTTTTCATTATACTTTGAAAACTGACCTTAAACTTGATTCACCCAGTTTTCTAACCCTTATCACTAAACTGTAATGGCGTACTCCACGTTAGGCTAGTCCATATGGGTAGTCCATGGACAGGGGTCAGTGTTTTGTCCACCACTACTGACTTCATGTGCCAAATTCACCTGTAAGTGACATAACTGCACTTGTTGCTGTAGGAACGTATGTTTGATCTGGTGCCGGGAATGGAGTTGACTCCCACAAATCCCATGACTTTGAAGCCACATGCTCTCAAATCACCAGCTCAGGTGGGAGTCTATCATCGCTTTCTCTTGTTTGGTCAGTTAACCCTATAGCCGGAGACAGGGCTGTCAACCCCCCATGTCTTCAAATATTGAGAATTAATGGGGAAGGGATGACAGATGATGTCATAATGCACAGCACATGACGTCATTTGTGAAAAAAAAATGTGCGAAAAAGATGTTGGAATTGTAACCGGAGTTTGTGAGGAAACGTTCGATATTAACGGTAAAAATAGCTCAAATAAGGCAAAATATTTGAAATTTCAATGTCAGAATCCGAAACTACAAGAAATGGCAAACTTCCGTGATTATCTGAAAGATTTCAGACTCTAAATCTGGAAACCAGGAGAAACGGCTTAAAATCTGGAGTCTCCCAGATTATGCGGAAGAATTGACAGTCCTGCGGAGAAAACAGCTGGCATTTCATGATGCTACCACTGTGGTTTCCCTGAGCAGTGACTGCAGAAATTCCTTACTGATGACATGTTACTACCCAGATCTTGGTAGTGACGCGTCATCAGTATGGAATTTCTGTGCTCGTTTCTCAGATGTCATTTTGCAGGGAAACCACAGTGGTAGCATTACAAAATGTCAACTGTTTTCTCAGGTTATTAACCCTCAAGAGCATTCAAAATTTGTTTAAAAAAATCCTTGGTCGTTTTTGTGAGTTACACAGTGCTTCCAAAGAGGTTTCATTTTAATACTCAGGACTTCATCCACAGGATTCATTAAAAAAAGAGAAACTTTTAATATGTAGGTTACTTTTTCCCTGAATTGAAGTTATTTAACCCTTTAAGCCCCAATATCCACATACAAATTCTCCTGACTGATCTCTATACATTTCCTTAAAGAATTAGTTGAAAGAATTTGATAACAGATCAAGGCATTGTCTCTTGGAAGATCATTTTATTAATTCTCATAGTTAACTTATCTCTTAAGTATAGATATTGTTAGGAGATAATTGATGTTGGTCACTATTGAGACTTAAAGGGTTAAGATACAAAACACATTTGTCGAAATTATCCTCCTAAAATGAGGCTTATCATACATTCCTTTTGCCCAAGGTGTTGAATAGTAGCTGAAGTGGCATACGTAGGCTCTGTGAAAGTCTGGTCAGATCTGTTACTTTTGAAGCTGGTATAACTCATTCAGAAGCACTTTTTTGCCTTAAATATTAATTCCACTGAAAGGATTAACTTAAACATAGAGTAACAGCGAGATGTAATGCCCTTAGTAACATGCACTGTAGAAACAATATAACAATCTATAATGATGTTTTAACTCAGGTGTAATGTATTTATTCAATTGAGTGCCCTGGGTGCTCATGTACTAATCTTGAGAGTGGGCGCTTATTCCACACTAGGCACATATTAACTTTTCGTTCCTACAAGGTTGGCGCTTTATTTGAAGTTGTGCGCTTAATCGAACATTACATTAATTAATTTAATAATAACTGACATTTTATACAGTTTAAAAATAACATCTAATCTTTTCCTATCAGGATCATTTGCTTCTTGTAAAATAACTTTCCAAAGAATTTCTAAAATCCTCAGTGTCAACATTTAAAATTAAAATCTTTTGCTTTCTCTCTGTGTGCTATCACATTCATAATTTTAGTTTTTCCGACTTGACAAAATTGTAAAGGGTGACCTGCATTTGAGAGGAATCTGTTGATCAGTGCCTGAGCAACTCTTTTTTTTTTTACACTGAAATGAATTTTTAGTAATAGTAATTCCAACTTTTGAGAATCAACAAAATATTTTGCTATAACCATTCAAATGAAACATCTTAGTCTGGACATTTTGAATAATGGTACTAAGATTTCACAAGATGAAATTTAAAAATTCTTCTCAATTTTGACATGGGCCTTTTGCTAATGTGGGTTTTCTCTATTTTCTGTCACAGGTTTTAGAGGATGTGTGCCAGAAAAATCAATGGGGGAGTCCTGTTTACACGCTCCACAGCACTGTAGGACCTCAGGACATGCAACTCTTTCTGCACAAGGTTGGGCTGATTTTTCTGTTACATTATTATGAACCAAATATAAAATGCTGTGAAAATTGGATTTGCTTGTATTAGATTTCCTCTGACAAGCACCACCAAAACAATGCTACCAGCCATACCCCTTATGTTTTTTTAAAAATCGCTTCATCTTCTTTTTAAATTTGATTATTTCAATAAGCCTAAAGGAGAACAATCTCGTCTGCTGAGTCAGCATCTCTATCTCCATGGTCTTGCTGAGTTCTTTTAATATTTATGTGCATTTATAGTAAAAGCAAGATAAGACAAGTTATTAAGATCCTTTCCACATAAGCAGACAAATCTTGAATTGTCCTGAATATAAAGCTTAACTAACTCACAGGTATTGAACTACTACCTTTTACCTCCAACAAAAGCACTGTTGCTGTTGTATTTTGTTAGGTACTTCATTGTGTGCCACACTGAATACTAGTCCATGTTAATCTTTACTTAAAGGTATCCATTCCTGGATTGGCCACCCAGTATCAGCCTCCTAAGTTGTGCCGCACAGTTGAAGAAGCCAAGAGTTATGCCTCAGAATATACACTTCAGCAACTTGGTATTCCAATAGAGGGTATGTCTAGGTAATAAATAAATTATTTCCAAGAATTTAAACTTAATTCTTAAATATATCACCATGCATATTCTCCCAGGCATTCTCCCTTCATTTCCTACAGCACTTATCAGGAGAAATTATACATCAATCAAGAGCTTGTTCATATTTCTTGGTGATTTTTTCCTTAGTCACAACTATAAAAAAATTCTCTCATCTAATTGGCTTTTGGCAGCCCTAATTTCAGCACATGTCAGGCTTAGTAATATTGGAAAGGATATGCAATCACATGTGCTGTAATGGGAGCAGTTCTTGAATTATTTTTACTTGAATTAGTTCTTCGAAGGTTTTACCCATCATGTAATATTGCACAAAATGTCTTGTATTCTGAAAACCTTAAAGGCAACTTTAAAAAAAGTTGAGCTTGGATCACTGTTTATAAAAATAAAGTTTCTATCTCGCTGGTTTGTTTTCTTGCATGGTGCTTGAGTTCTATAGTTGCTACTTTTAAATTTAAACTTGTGGTCAGCAGCTTTGGTAGTGGTACCTGCTAGGTACATGAACTTCATTAATTCGCTCTGGTTTTCTCAAATGACTCCAACATTTGCAGGAAAAACATTAAACTGACTAAAAGGGCAAGAGAAATTTGTAGCCTTCGATCGTAACAGAGTACTGAAAAGGGTAACTCTCAAGGTGTTATTTATATTTTATTAATATTTCAGTGGTGACCACAACGGCAGCAGATATTCCCCCAACTACTGGAACCCCAGTACCTTCTACAGCAACCTATGTAGCCCGCCCTTTACCCCCAGGTATGTTGAACAAATCAGCAACAATTTTATGTAGCCTGTACTCTTTATAACCGTAGAAGTGAACTCAAGGGTGCATGGTTTCACTGCAAAGTTATGAGCATTTTGACCTCATTCCTGTGGTTGATAAGAATATAAACCCAGGAAAATTGATATCAATTTCTTTTTTACGATAACATTGGCAGCTGCTTAAGTCCATTTCTGTTTAAGTTTCTCGGAAAAAAATTGCATGTGAGAGTAAGAGAAAAACGAATTGCTCCATCACATCATTGTCATGCCATATACTCTCATCTACCATAGCTCTTGAGCAATCAGTGCTAGGAATATCACTCTGTGTACAATATTTTATTTAGACAAAGGAATTGATTATGAAGGTCTAACAATAATTTCAAACAAATAAGAGAATGGTTGCCACATGCCAGAAAAATAGTCAGGGTAAAAATAAAATTCTTCATGATCACCAAAAAAATCAGGAAATTTTATTTGTAAGTCAGAGAAAATTGACATTTTGAAGAAAAGTCAGGGAAAATTGAAAGAAGAACCCCCCTGATTTAAAGGGGCTATGTAATGGCTGTGTGGATCATATTATTAACATTGCCAGTTACAAGTCTATGGAACTTAACATTAGCTGAGAAATTTCTAACAAATGACAAAATCCCTGCTTCACATCTAACAAATAATGTCTCAAGGATTTTTTCAAACGTCATAGACAACAAAAACATTATTGAACAATTTTTCAGTCCCAAAACTTCCTTTGTTTGCCTCTATAACCATAAATGACCTAAAGAAAGACCCTTACTTGTATTAACATAATTGTAAAGGAAAAACAAGGACCTCTTTCCAGCTTATCTCTAGTAAGCTTACAGCACTTTGAACAGTGACCAATGTATGTCTCTTTTGTTTATCAGTCTTCAGTACTGTTTGTGGGGACTAGTAATAATTTCATATTTACATTTTTTTTCTTTTCCCTGCAGGGGCCTACAGCCTGCCGAATTCTGGCCGACCAATCAGTAGTGCAGAGGCCGGCTCCTATGCCTCAGGTTATGTACCAATTAGTAATGCCCCCAGTAGTGTTGCTTCTGCTGCCGTGGTGGCTAAACTGCAGGGCTCTTGGCCTGGAGGAGTACCGCCCAATCAGGATGCTGCAATGTATGGAAATTATGATGGATATCCAACTGGTGAACAGGGCGGTTATCCACAGAATATTTATCAGCAGTATTAGTGGCTGAAATTTTTAGACTTAATACAATCAGTGATGTGGTGTGGAGAGCAAGGCAGAAGTCACTTGACCTTATTTAAATTTTTCAAGGAATGTTCCAGTGTAACACAGGTTGAATGCAAGTCATAACGATAACTTGCCTGACTAAACCTGCTCAACATTTCCTGCACAAACAAGTTTCAGCTGTGATTTTTTTTTACAAGAAAGGTCATTTCTTAGGAGACTGAGCACAGTGTGACAGCTGTTGATATTTTTAAAGGCTGTTAAAAAATGGGATCTTGGCCTCACAATCCAAACACATACTGAATGTTTACAATTTAATGGGATAAGGGTGGCAGCAGATGTTTATTCTGTGAACAGTGTATGTGTTCTAGTGTCTTTGTGTCATAGATAAGGGTCATTATTAGAGAGGGTTATGTCAGAATTATTTCATCTTTTTTTTTGCTGGTTTAAGTGATCATTAGTTCGAGTAGTGGAAGAATTCAATAGCTATATGCGGCAAATTAAATTTTAGGCCATTTGTATGGACCAAAGAAGGCACACAATAAAGGCCTATTTTACTGTCATTGACAAAGTTACAACCAGCTTAATAGCTTTTTTTTTAAATGAATTTTTTCAGTGCTTTATGTCATGGTTTTACAGGAAGAAAGAATTTCCAAGTCACAAACAAAGCGTATTTCAATATTATAAATTTATTCGTACTTGCGTCCTATTCGCTATTTTATTGTCTTATAACTGTATCCATTTTAAGTCATCCAAAGCAAAGAGAAAAAAGAAAAGAAGAGTTTTAGTTTATATTTTTGTTAGAGAAAACTCAGATATTTATAGACAAACAGGGCTCATTGTTGGTCGTTTGGAACTGAACGCTTGAGAACTGGTGTAAATACTGAAAATGCTGCTCTTGAGGTATTTTAAATGCACATGCGCTGTGTACCACAGGATTTCGTGTAAGCTTTGTCCCTTGGTCAACTAGTGTATGTAATATGAGAACATAAGGTTTTGTTGCGGGAAAAACCGGGTGAGATTTTGGGTTTGATTTTTTGGGGAAGAATGTTGGACAATGCTCTTACATGAATCTGTGCAATTATTTCACTACACATCGTTCACCCAAGCACTTTGTATATTTTCATCACGAGGTTCCTTGAACGTTATGTACAGTTAAAATCTCTTTAAAAATGAAATAAGTCTTTTATAAAATTTCTTGAGCTTGCTCTTTTCTATTCAAGAGGCTGAAAGGAAGTAGCCAGGATATTGTTACGAATTGAACGATTTCTGTTGGGACAGACTTGCTCCTCCTAAACATCAACGGTTAAATTTGTGTAAATGCTCATCTCTGGGAAATGTGTGTAGAGGAATCCTTCTATTAACAATCGGTGGTGAAGTTGTGGAGTAAAGAAAGTGTTTGCTCAAAGAAAAGGAACTAAATAACGCGTGGAAACAGTTCAAGGTGAATACCTGAACATTTTTCTGCATCCTGCAAAGAAGAAAGCTTTACAACACTCACCCTTAAGACTGAAGGAAAATCCTTCTGTATGTTCATTGAAAGGTTGCCTTTGAGTTAACAGCACTGACCATAAATACTGACGGCTCGTTTGTCCGTCTTTAAAACGATGGCATTCGCTCGTCGGCTCTTCCTTCCAGCCCTTCTTATTCAACAAAAAAGTAGAATTTTTCTTCAATGGCAAGTTACTTTGTTTATAGGATGTTTATTCTAATAATGCTGTTAAACAAAAAATTCACCGGAAGTAAAAACAAATAGGAATTTTTTTCAAGTCTGTATGTTACAATTTGAGTTCCATTAAAGATACCAACACAAAAGTCTATTTACAATTTAACAAGAAACTGCCAACGGTGCCGAGCTATAGAGCCTGATTTAAGTGAATGAAACAATTAGTCTCTTACGTTACCAGTCATGGTCTTGTCACGCAATGCCTTCCGCCTCAAAGGAGACAGGGGATTGCGTGACCTAGGTGCGTAGAAAACTAATGTAGAATTGCATAAATATGTTTATTAGTGATGTAGTGATAATTATTTAGTGAGTTACTGTTAGAGAAATGAAGGGATAGTGAAAGTTTCGAAACTCACGATTTTCTCCACCAGCCATTTTGGCCTTCTTGTGCAGCAGAGTTTGGAATCTATGTTTCATTTAGTCCAAAGAGAATAGTGACATATAAACAAAAAATTCGTGAGTTTCAGGTTTGTTTGCCCAGCTAGGATTTGAACGGAGGGAAGATAACCAGCGCTTGCGACATTTCATCAGGCCAGTTGTCTTTTTTTAAGGGCTGGTTAGGTAAATATTACAAATATAGCATAATCATGAATCAAATAACGGTACAATTGAAAAATAAGCCACCAATAAAATCCCACGTATGGTACCGACATAAGCTTGCGTCTTGTTTTGGTTGGGAAGATAACATTGTAGCTTTGTAGGTTGGTGAGATCAAGAAGGATTGGAAAGCCTTCCCAAAAAGCTTTGCGTTGCAACCATATCAAAATTTTGATCACATGATCAAACAATTTGGTGCAAATGATGGCGCTCAGTTGAAGAACTGGGTAGACTAACCACCCCCCCCCCTCCTCTCCCCACACACCCCACCCACAGCAAAGAGTAAACACCAATTTCTCTATTAGAGCAAAACGTTGGTTTAGGGGAGAGGTAGGTGGGCAACCCAGGGCCAGCAAAACATTGCAGATGAGGCTGACAAGAAGAACTTCACATCCCCTGGCCTCTAACTCTCAGTGAACAGAGGCACTTGAAATATGATACTCGCTTCTAATGGTTTCTGACCAATCATAAATGGGAAGTTCAGAACTGGTCTTCCTGTGGTTAACACGTAAGTCCCGAGAGTTACAAACATCAGTGGGATCATCATTTCTGGGAAACTGCCCACCTACCCCTCCCCTTAGCCAACATTGACACTTACTTCTCACTTGGGGCAAAATGTTGGTTTAGGGGAGGGGTGGGTGGGCAATTTCCCAGAAACGTATAAACAAAATTAATAGGTAATCGAGGGAAAAGGTGATAGCAATTGCTAAAACCATCTCTTTGGGGAAAAGCTTTGATCGTGAATGTAAGGAGATCAGTCTGGACAGGGGCTCCTGGTCTGGACAATTTGTATGTGGATATTGGGAGTTAATGAGCTAACATAACATGTGAATGAAATTTCCATGGGTCTCCGTGAATGATTTCTCTTATTTTTTCAGCCATTTTCTTCAAGACGGAGACTTAAATAATTCAGATCTCAGGGGTTACCTGTGTGATGGGGTTAATGATTGAATGGCACTGTTTTGGGTGGCCTGTGCCAGGCTCTCAGATTGTAGGGAGGTCAAGGGAAGAAGCACGTGATCAGGAAAATTATCGCATCAGGTTTTACGATCTCTAGACGTTATTAGGGAGCTTAAGCAAGGTCGTTTTTCAGCAACGAACGTCAACCGGAGGTGAGGCCTTTCCTTTTTATTAACGCTACCAAGTTTGTATCGCTACGTTTCTTTCATTTTATAGAGTCGATTCAACCGAAAATTTGGGCAAAACCACTACCCAAGAGTGCAAAAAGTCCACTTCCGGTGCTTCGTTCAAAACTGTCTTTGCTGAAGCTCCTCACGACTGTATGTTTTGTCATTTAAGGCTGCGTTTGGTTACTGGAAAAAACATAGTGTAACTGAACACGAGGCGTGACAACTCTTGTTCCAGGGTCTCTCTCGAGAGACTCAACCTGGTTCCCAGGACCCTCTTTTACTCGTCCCTCGGAGCGAGTAGGAGTATGAGAGGACCCTAGGGTCGAGGTTAGTTTTCCTGTTCTTCTTTACATTCAGGAAATAAGCTTTTGCATTATTTTCTTTAAGTCATTTCTAATCTATAAATCAGTGATAGATCAAGAGTCATTTTTAGGCTCTTTTTTTTATTATTTCGGTATTTTCATTTAATTTAATTTAACAATTTGTCAACAAACAAAGCGCTCTTCACAATATACTGATCAAACGCGCTTTACAATTTTAAACTTAAACCTAAGAGACAGAAAAATGAAAACAATATTTACGTGGGCACTATACAACCATAAACCGTGACTCTTCAGTGAAGTCCATTGTTACATTTTTATGTCAGCCAATAAGACACTCAATTCATTTACTGTTAAACAGTAGAGGGTGTCAATGGAGTCACAGGCAGCCCAAGCGTACTATGTGTGGATTGGGGCCTTCAGAGGTCATTTGATCGGAATATACTAGTATGATAAGTGTAATATCTGATGCCAAATATATGCAAAGTTAGACCGCGGTTTAGGAAATCTTTGTACCTTCAGATCTCTTCTCCAGTGGGTTATTTTAAGAGGACAAATGCTTTTCTAGACTACGCCATGTGCTTTCATGAAATTGTTCACGGTTAAAATTAAATGGCGATTACATAAAAGCGTTCGGCAAACTGAAAATGGCTTAGAACGCAGTTTTGTTAAACACTGGCTAAAGTCTCCTTGTTTTTGTCTATCTGTACTAGTATCCCTTAAGATAACGAAAGTCGATATTTCGTGCATTGTTACATGTGATTCAGGCCTTTATAGTTCGAATTTGAGTCTACGACGTTAAGAAAAAAAATCATGATACGCGAAATGTTGATTCAAAAAGCTCCCTTAGCTTTAGTTCATAGCCACTCTGTGTCCTCCGGCCGGTTTAAACGCAGTTTAGTCGACTTTCTTGTCATCGAGTACTGAGTAAGAGAGCATTTATTTGGCATCAGATATTACACTTGTCATACTAGTATATTCCCAACAAATGACCTCTGACGCCCGAATCCACACACAGTACGCTTAGGCTGCCTGTGACTCCATTGACACCCTCTACTGTTTAGCAGTAAATGAATTGAGTGTCTTATTGTCGGACATAAAAACGTAACAATGGACTTCACTGAAGAGTCACGGTTTATAGACAACAGTTGTATAGTGTCCATGTAAATATTATTTTCATTTTAACCGTCTACCGTAAAAATTGGAAAACATTAACCGTCAACCGTCAAAGCTACCGTAAGCTTGAGACCCACAGTAGACTGCCTTAAATTCGGTTCATGTAGCTGTCATTAGAGATATGAACTCGTCATCCAGGTCTGTACTTTTGGCTCTTTTCTTTCCAAGGTCAATTGGTATTCATCTGTGTTGAAAAATTGCCTGTTTTCAATTCCCTGAATCCTTATCGGGACAGCTGTTAGGAAGTTGACTGAATAAACACAAACAATAATGTTACTAATAAAAATATTGCTCTAACGAGCCCTTATAAGACTTATAATTAAACGACCTTAAACTGCTGATTAAAAAATAAAATTACAATCCAAGCTTTCGCCATCAACGGCATGATGATGATGATGCCATATATTTATTTATATTTTTATTTTTAACCAAGCTGCTGAGGGACAACTTGAATATATGTTGCAGTTAATTTTTTATTTCGGGTAATTTTTGTTTTTCCTTTGTTTCAAATTCATAAGCATACATTACCATACCTAAAAATAATAGAAAAACAAAAATAAACTGAAATAAAAAATTAACTGCAACATATACATTAATACTGGTTACTTCTCACAGTATTTACTTAAGTAAAGTGTTTCTTGGCAGCTTTGAACGATTGTGCTCAAAAAAGTAGCATAATATGCTACTAGCAGTGCTCGTACATTTCTAAAATCATGCAAATAATTATGTTAGTTTCTGTAAATTATTCTCATTTTAACAAAATATGCAGAAATAATACTTCTACTTTTTACTTCAAATTTGGTAAAAATACCTCAATAACTCTGCAACAAACAACTAAATGGCAAACACATTAACCCTATTTACATCTAGAAACTCTAAGAGTGTATAATTCACGATTGAGTCGTGTGGAAAGGTCGTAGGTCAATAAGCAAACAAAAAATTTATTTTGTTTTTAGATTTGCCCGTAACACTTAGCTCGGGTAAGAGAAAAGTGTTTGCATGATCAATAAATGACAATTTTGTGCTGCAAAACTTGTCAAAAGTCCAAATTATGCTAGCAGTGGTTTTTTTGCCCGGCTTTTTTGGGGAATGAAAACGCTCGTCATGACGAATTGTGCCAAAAATTATGCTAGCAAAATCTATCAAAGCCTACTTTCTTGGGTTGATTAAAAAAGGTACGTAAGACCTTGGACATTTTTAGGACAGCCAGTATTTTTTTGCGCAAACTTTAATGCTAAGTATAGCTTACTTGGGATTTGAACATATGTTGAAAATTTGGCCTTAGTCGCCCCACTCCGCCAAAGGCAGCTTGTCACAATCTCTTAGGTGGGTGTCAGTAAAACGCAGGGTCGACGGGGTGGGCGTCTACTTTTTTTAAAGAATGCTGTTTTAGGGTTAGGGTTAAAGTAGTGTTAGGGTTAGGGTTAGGGTTAGGTAGTGTTAGTGTCAACCCTAACACTAACCCTAAAACAGCATTCTTTAAGAAATGATTGACTGCGAGCCGGTCCCGACCCCGACCCCGATCCCGCGTTTTACTGACACCCTTCTCAGTTACTGGCACCCAAAAGTAAAGGCGTGGTCGATTGACCTTATTACGGAAGAAGAATAATGGAATTAAAATAAGGAATCAGTAATTTAGGCATATATTGTAATTTAGAATACAGAAATTTGGTTGAAATAAAATATTAAGATGTATGTCACATTCTATTGTGGTCCCAGAATAAGGCTAAAAGATATTTGTATTAAAATTTCTGTGTATTGTTATTCAGGAATACGATCAATCGTGTTCATCTTAAGAGGCACCTGATCCTCTTTCTCATGCAGTCTGCAAGCGTTTTTCTCGGGGAATTAAAGAAGACCCAATTTTTTGTTGGACCAAAGGTAGAAAATTAGTTACTGGTCTCACATATAATGCTTGATTTAGCTCGTGAAATGAAGTAATTACCAAGGACGAAAACTGAAGTCGATTTTCGCTGATTTATTTACCTGCTGGAGCTTGCAGATGATTATTTTTCTGGACATTATCCTCAGTACTGATTGGTTCTGCTACGGCTTTGCTTATAACGGATCCAGCGGATGTATGTTCCTTTTTACACAAAGTACCAACTACACGTGCTCTGACCTGTAAGAAAGAGGTTAAATTGCAAAGTAAACTATTAATAGGCCACTTTCGATATATCAAAATTCAGCATGATGTCGAGTCTTAGAGGACAAAAACGAGTTTGCGGGCCCTGGAAATAGGTGAAGCCTGGGTGAAGCAAAAGGGACTATGAAAATAATATACAGAAAAAAAGGGGACCTGGGTGAGAGGCGGAGACAAAATAAATTGAGATAATGACAAAGATAAATTCGCTTACTTTAATAGTAAAGAGGTTTAGGTATCAGTTAGTGACATTTTTTTCAAGTA